CTCCTTGTTCAGGACTTACTAGGCCTTCCCCCAGGGAGGCTGGTACCAACAGCAAGTCCCCGTGGGAAGCTCCTCTTTGCCGAAAGGAGGCGGCTGGCCAAGTACTGAGTGACGCTGTCCTTTTAAGCAGGACTGAGGGGAGATGCAGCCATCCTACTGCTGCAAGTGAAATCTGTGCCCCGGGTGGCTGGCCGACAGCATGAACTGAGGGGTGAAGTCTCTTCCCTGGCACTAGGCTCCCAGCTGCACTTGCAGAGCCCGTCTCCCCGGGCCAGAATGCTCTGCCTGGAATCCACCGGGCAGCTGGCCTGGCTGCATGTCTGCTGCAGCAGGGAGGAGACCCACCCAGCATCATGCCGCTCCTTGGAGCACGCTGATGTGGCGCTCTCAGAAGGGCTCCTCAGGGAAGCCCTCGATCAAGCCAGCAAGGATGTTACTGATCTGAAAGCGGCTTCGCCTGCTCATGGGAGAGTTCCAGCCCAGCTATTCACAGTTGTCCTTGGAACGCAGCTGCCTGGGAATCTGTCTCCAGCTGACACCTCCACCCCCAGTGCTAAACACTCAGCAGAAGCCACCTGCAGGCTCCTCGCCCCTTCCAAATTAGAGACCATCGTCCTGGCAGCCAGCACCCAACCGCCGATCCCAGAAGCAGAGTGTGAGTGGGCGTCTCCAGACAGCAAGTGGGGCCTTGTCCCTCCTCTCCATCCCCAACCCTCGGTGCCCAGGATGGGACCAGGACTCCTGCAAGCCGTTCGTATCCTGCATGCTGCTCGCCACCTGTTGCAGAGTGTGGTGTGCTGCCCTGGCGTGGGGTCAGCTCCAAGGGAGCAGCTGGGATCACTTTTCCGGAGGCTGTAGAAAGAGGCTTTAGAAGTAATGGGCCGGATGACTGCCCAGGAAAGGCTGGGGGCATTTATTGTTAGTTCTGGTTTGGTTGGTTCAGCAAAGCTACTTTGTTCCTGTCCCTGTTTGGTGCCACAGCAAAGTCCTGCTCCAGTGTCCCCCTCTGGCACTCTGAGCTATCCCTGTTGCCCTGGTTTGTTGCCTGGCTGTCCCTTGGCTTACCTCAGCTAATAACCAAGCTGCTGTGCGTGTCCGCGAGGTGAATAATGTCCCGATACTCTGCATTAAAAGCTGAGTGAGATAATACTGCCCCGAGCAGCTGCCCTGCACTTCCCATCACAGATGGCTTTGCTCCTTTGGATTTCCCTCTTTGGTGGAAAACAGATGAGTTCCCTCAATATCCCAGGGCTCAAGGATGAACTCTTCAGCACACTGCAAATGCTAACAAAGAAGCTGAGGTGTCCACTGTTTTCCCCAGCTCCTGAAACCACATAAAAGCAGAGAGATGCAGACTCTTTTTCCAGACAGTGTGTCTACCATGCACAGCCCCGTTGGCTGGGAACGGAGGGAGGCGAATTAGCGTAGCGGCAGAAGCTGGTGTAATTCCTGCATGGTATTTACTGCCAGGCCTGGGACTGCGCCGCTGCCCAGTTCCAGCTCTCTGACGTTTGGCCTATTCATGCATGAGGAAGTGAATTAATTACGGCAGGAAGTTCTGCTGGACCAACTCCCGAGAGGACTTGGTGAAACATGGGCCCTCTGGGGCCTTTGGCCAGGAGTCTGCAGACAAGACCCCGGGATTCTGTCAAGCAGCATTGTAGTGGGGTCCTGGCTTCCTGTTGGCTCAGCTTGACGTAACTGGACCTTTAGATGGCAGCTGGTCAACGGTGGAGATTGTTATTGGCTGACAACCAGCCCTGAGCAGCCGGAATGAATGCTGATGTCAGATCCCCACTGGGATTACTTCATAAGTGTAGGGCATGTGTGCGTGCCTATGGAAAGAAAGAGTCCATAGAAACCCTTCAGTGATCCTAAAGGCTCCCCAAAGCTCATTCCCTTTCCCCACTTCAAGGAATTTGCCTTGTTTCTGCACTCAGTTGTAACCACGAACTGGCTTGTGAGCAGAGTGGGGGCGGGAGATCTTTTGCAAAATTTCTGGAAAACTTACAGGGGTCTCCTGGGGCGGGCAGGGCAGGGGTTGGCTGAGAGCTCCCAGCTGTGCGGGGCCCAGGTGTGAAGTGAGCATGGCGGGATGGGTTCTTGGTCTAGTCCTTCCTGTTGATGTCACAGCTGGCATTGACCCTCCCCTGGTTTGCAGACTCAGTGGCAAGGCCAAGGACTGACTGGGCCATGGCGTTTGAGCCCCCTTGGGGCTGTCGAGGGCAGGACGAGGCCTGCTGGTGGGGCAGGGCCATGCCGTACCTGTACAAAGGCCAACCCCCTCCCAAAGGCCACATGCTCTACGCATCGGATGTGCCAGCCCCGTGCAGCACCCTGCAGGGCAGAGTGGGAGAGCAAGGTCTGGTGCCTTTCTGGGTAGTGGTATGCAATGCCGATCGGGTTGCCAGTCCCTGATGCTCTCAGGCTCCTAGGGCAAGTTCCAAGGTAGTTGCTCTGTGTCTGCAGCCAGGAGTTGGGCCCAGGAGTTGCCGGGCGATAGCGTTGGAGTCTCGGAGGTGCAGCTCTGCGGGTGGCTGCTCTGTCTGGGGCAGGTGTCTCAGGCCAGGGTCCGGCAAGGAGCACTGCAGGGAGGGAACTCCAACAGCTGCTCCTCGCTCGCTCTCCCTGGGGGTCGGGGCAAGGCTGGGCTCGGCTGCTCTCCTGAGAGGGAATAGCCAGCAGCCCCATCCTATTGCCGTAGCTTTGGGAACCGTAAAGGCACCCGTGACAGGATGGGACTGGGCCACTGCCCATGGCACGCCGTCCAGTAACTCCATAACGAGCAAATCCCAAATGCTGCTGTTGGAAAACTTCTCCCTGCCAAGGAGGGCCCCATGGTGAATGTGGGTGCCCTCCGCCCAGGCGTGGTGGGTACTGCGTCGGGCTGGGAACATCTCTTAGGGCTGTCTCTCCCCTCTTGGGGTGTTTGCAGTGGGGTGATCCCGCAGCGTTCCCTGCGGTCCCCCCACATTCCCCCCCCTTCTGTTGTTTTAAATGCCAGGAATTCCCAACAAGCCACTGCCTTGACACTGTAGGAAGGGATCTCGCAGCACTTTACCCTTCCTGCCTGGATCTTCTGTGTCTCCCTCCCTGGCAAGCTGAGAGCTCTGCTCTGGATCTTGAGGACTTACTATTTATTTGCACCAGGGAGACCCTGTGCTAGGGGCTGTACATTCGTAGAGTAAAAAGACCACGCCTCCCCACTGAATACACTCCCTGGGTCCCGGTACTCCTCTCCAGAGCCCCTGCTTGACCTGCAGAACTGGGACAGAGCGGGGATGCCAGTGGGGCGAGGAACACATGGCTTGTGGCGGACAGGCAGCTGCCAGGGAGGCTGAGCATGTTGTCTGTCCCCTGGGGAAGCATGCCAGGCCATGAGCTCATTCCTCCAGAGTCAGGCCTGCATCCTCTGCACGCAGATGAGGGCAGATAGCAGCCAGCAAGTCCCGGCCGGGCAGGGAATGGCGTGTGGAACAATAAACCAGCCCAAGAGATAAGGAAACCAGATGGTTATTAGCAAGCTAGCACGGAGGACGGGGCATTGTTCTTGGAGGAAGCGCAAACCCTCTCTGGCTTCTAGGCTCAGCTCCTATGAAGAAAACCTATGTTGTGTCAGAGCTGGAAGCGGGGCTGCTCGTCTGCTGCCCGGACCTGCAGTCAGGGTACGGTCTGCACTGTGATCTGAGTGCTGCTGGATGGGGAAGAGCCAAACGTGTGTGTTCCTGTGCTGCCGCTGGCTGCCGGGGGAAGCCAGTCGCAGGCTGGTGCGTTCAGACGCAGCAGAGCTGAGGGGGCAGCTCAGGCCATCGCGGAAGGCCAGGCTGTGCGGAGCTCGGCAGGCTGGAGGACTTGGTTCCTCTGCATCTGCAGCCAGAAGCAGCACCATGCGGCTGCTGCGCGCTTGGAAACCGGGGCTCTTTCCTGCCGAATCCTGCAAGGTGCCTAGCCCCTGGGAGAGGTGCTGCGCTCCGCATGATGCTCAGCAGCTCCTGGGTGTACTCAGGACCATGCACAATTGGACCCGGCAGGATTGGTGTCTTTGGGTCAGGCAGGCGGACCAGGCAGAGGGCTGGGAGCCAGGAGTGCAACCGCTCATGTGTTAACACACAGAAGTGTGGCCCTTTCCCTTCCAGCCACAGCAGGGCTGTAACTTCTTGGGCTGAATCCTCATCTGCCCCACCTGCAGCACGGGATGACAGTAGCTGCCTGCCTGTGTGGGGCAGGGAATAACCCGTTAACAGCTTGCGAAGCACCCTGTGGCCAGGCCAGGCACAGGAATAGGCGCCTCCTGTGGACGGGCATGGGGCCTGGGAGCTGCTCTTTGTGGGGCCCGTCAGGCTCTCCCCTGTGCTTGGGAGCAGGAAGCTCCTCTCCACGTCGAGGGCCTGCTCCAAGCCCCATAGAAGTCAAGGGGAGTCTCTTTCCCTTTGGCTTTGGATCAGCCCCGTTCTGCAACGTGAAAAGGAGGCCGTGTGCTCCCTGATTGTGCGTCACCCCCGCCTTGCCCTGGGTGCCCGGTGTGAGCTGGGGCCTTTTGGAGTACAGCTGATCCTGTCCTCCCAAATTCTGATGCTCCAGCAATGGCGGGGGGCAAGGGGGGCAGGGGAGGTGGGGAGGGAAACCTGCAGATCTAACTGGGGGGGTGGGGGGGAAGTCCTGTAGAAACTGCTGAGAAGGAGCATCACCTTCGCACTCTCTCCTTCTCCCACAGTGTCTGAAGCTGGGTTCAGGGCCAAGGTGAGGCTCAGAACTGGGCCAAGCCCCTTCCCCTCTCTGCACCTCAGTTTCCCCTGGGGAGGAGTCTTCTCCCCCATATCTCCAGGGGGGTTGTGAGGCCTGGGTTAAGGATGTGTTGAGGCCCGTGGCTGGTGGGTGAAGCATCGCTGTCCTGATGCCATGAGTGCTGTTCCTCCCTTCGGTGTCCAGGCTCTAATGACAATGGTCAGTGTCTCCGGATTAATTTCTCCTTCCCCTGCCCCCTTCTCTGTCCCTTGCAGGAGGTGGAGGGAAGCGGAAAGGGAGGAGTAAGAAATGGAAAGAGATCCTCAGATTCCCACACATCAGCCAGTGTGACGACCTCCGGAAAGGCCTGGGTAAGCGAGGAGCCCCAGCCCGGCTGCTCCCCGGAGCTGGCCAGCGAGATGAGCCTCGTGCAGGGGCATGCGGGGATTGTGTTGCAAGAACTGGCAAAACCTGCTTGCCGCAGAGCCTGGGTGTCTGCTGCGAATGAGCAGGTACAAGCCAGTGGGGAAGGAGGGGAGCGTGCGGGGAGAGCAGGCTAGCACACCGAGCTGCACTGTGCCCCGCGGCCTCCTGGTCAGCAGAGAGGCCAAGAGCACCAGTGTGGCGCTGTAATGGGTACAGAGAGAGCAATGGGAAATGCCAGGGGCCCATGGGGAGCTCCATGCTACGGCTCTTGCGCTTGACAACAAAGACTGTGATCATTTCCTGCCAATGCAGAGGAGAGATGCTTATCGGGAGCCCGAGGAGGGTGGGGCAGGGAGTCAGGAAAAGGGTCAAGGCTGGGGCTGGTAACTGCTGCTGGAGAGAGGGTGTGCTCCCTGCATGCAGCTGGGGACACCTGCGCTGCCTGTGAGAAGCCAGGCACTACCCCCATACACACGCCCGCGTCCCGTGTAAGCGGGGAATGGGGTGTGTGTGGCAGAAGTGCAGGTGGGAGGAAAGCAGCAGGCTGGGGCTGGTAACTGCTGCTGGAGAGAGGGTGTGCTCCCTGCATGCAGCTGGGGACACCTGCGCTGCCTGTGAGAAGCCAGGCACTACCCCCATACGCACGCCCGCGTCCCGTGTAAGCGGGGAATGGGGTGTGTGTGGCAGAAGTGCAGGTGGGAGGAAAGCAGCACCTCCCGCGGGGCAGGCCCAGACACAGCTGCAGCGCTCCCTGACTCTGCGTCACCCGCACCTTGCCCTGTGCGGGTCCCAGACCCAGCTCTCCACTCTAGCATCCTGGTGCACAAATGTCCCTGACCAGTGTCAGTGACTAACCTGGCCTTTCCCTGGCAGGGGTTGGGGCGATACATGTGGGTTTAGGGGGAGCTGCACTTGGGCACAGGGAATGAACTCCCTGGGTACAGCCAGCCTCAGCGGGGTGCAACTTCTCTGGAGCTTCCTTCCTGCATCCGCAACGGGGATTGGGCCTTTCCCTCGGGTCTCCTGCTGGCCTCAGGGTCCCGCGTGACTCTAGGTGTCGGGGAGCCATTAGCTGCACAGTGCTCATCCAGCCACCTGCAGTAGCAGGCGGGCAGGTGGGTGTCAGTGTAACGGCGTACAGTTCCGTGTACTAGGGCACCATATCTGCCCAGAGAGACACGTCTCCTGCACCAAAAAGCTGGCGCTTCCGGGGCACCTGAGAGACCTGAGCAGGGCAGCACAGGAGGGGCAGGGGTGTGGCTCTTGCTGTGGAGGGGGAATGGTTGGTACGAGAGGGGGCACGTGGGGAGGGAGCCGTTCTGGGAAGGGGGCCGTGCTCCAGGACCAGGGCAACAGAATGCCTCTGCATTCCCAGCATTGCCCCTAACCCCCCCCCCCCCCCCACACTCCCCTGCTGTCACACGGCCCTGTGTGCCAACGTCTCCCCCCTGCATGGCCCACTGCTATCGCACGGCCCTGCGTTCCCGGCATCGGCCCCCCCTTCATGCTCCCCTGCTATCACACGGCCCTGTGTGTCTGGCATCGTCCACCCTCCCCTCTCCCCCCACACACGCCCCTGCCATCGCATGCCCCCACCCTCGTTCTCCTGCCATCGCACAGCCGTGTGTGTCCCGCATCGTCCTCTCGTCACGCTCTCCTGCCATCTCACAGCCGTGTGTGTCCGGCATTGCTCCCCCCCCCTCCACATGCTCTCCTGCCATTGCACAGCCCTGTGTGTCTGGCACCGTCCCCTCCCATGCTCTCCTGCCATCGCACAGCCCTGTGTGTCCGGCATTGCTCCCCCCGCCCCGCCCCCCCACATACCCCCTGCCATTGCACAGCCCTGGGTTCAAACCTGCTGGTAGTCCAAGGGGGCAGCTGGGCGATAAGCCCTTGGTGGAAGGGCTGTGTCTCTTTGTCTCTGGGAGGTGCCTGTCCCAGCTGCCGGCTCTGAGTCAGCTCCACTCTGGAGCCATTTGCTCCAGGGAACATGCAGCCTTAGTGAATCTTCCCTTCCTGGCCCGCCCCTCAAGTGCAAGCCTAGCCTTGTGAGTAGTGCCCTGGGAACTAGGTGCTGGGATGCCTGAGGTCTGTCTCCAGCGGTGGAAGAGGAGCTGGGTCTAATGGTTAGAACAGGGAGGTGAAGCGTTTCTCTCACTCCATTAGTAACCTCTGGGTCCCCAGTGAAACCTCATGGTCAGCAGTATCCAAGGCAGCCGATGGGATGTAATAGTCGGGACAGACCTGGTCCTCATCCCTGGCTGGGACGATCCACGCATGGCACCATTTCTACTCCTAGCCTTTGTCTGAATCATGACTGGGCAGGGCTCAGGAAGCCTGGCCCCAACTCCCCTGGGACCTTCCCCCAAAGCAGAAAGAGTGATTTGAGAAAGTAGATGGTGAGTGTCCGCATCGAGGGCATTTTCCCTTCATAGAATCATAGAATATCAGGGTTGGAAGGGACCTCAGGAGGTCATCCAGTCCAAACCCCTGCTCAAAGCAGGACCAATCCCCAATTTTTGCCCCAGATCCCAAATGGCCCCCTCAAGGATTGTGAGTTCAATCCTGGGTTTAGCAGGCCAATGCTCAAACCACTGAGCTATCCCTCCCCTCCTCAGGGCTCAGGCCAGACCCTCTATTAATGGGGATTTGATGGGGGGGTGACATCAGCAGTCCCCATTCGGAGCAGACCTGGTACTTCCCCGCTCGGAGAGTCCCTGGCTCCCCCAGAAGCTGGGCTGAGCCGAAGAGGAGAAAACTAGCCCCGGCCCCCTCCAGCCTCTGGAAGGCACTTTACATCTCACAGAGCTGTTGAAACCCTGGGCAGATCTGCTACTGCCTCTTTGAGGGTGAGCGTAGGAGCCATTGTCCCCTGAGCACCCAGCGGAGTTTGGTGGAACTAAGGTTCTTGGGAAGCCCGCATTGGGGCAGGCGCGCTCAGAATCCAAGATAAGTGTGTCCTTCTCCCATGCTCCCTCGGAGATGTCAGTGACTCTTCCCGTAATGCATGCTCGGCTGCTCCTTCCCCTGGGACTCAGGCTGCAACACCAAGGAGTGGGTATGTTTATATGGCCTGGGAATGTGGTTAGGCAGAGGCCGGGGGGCAGTTTCCAGCTCAGAGAAAGGAGAGGAGCAGCGGGAAAGACATTTGCAATGTTTTAGTCTTGCTAGAACACAAAACTTGCAGCTGCTGGGGGCTTTGGCCTGGAATTCATTGTGTGCAGCTGGGCCCAGCACGGAGCTGGGCCCCTGTCACGCTACACAGGGGAGATGCATGAGAACCCTCTGCCTGGGGAGTCTCATGCATTCTCTGGAGAGAGAGTTGCAGCAAGGCCTGACCTAGCGTCCAGACGCACTCGAGCCTCTGGGAGGTCAGAGGCCACAATCGTGGGCCACAGAGGTGTTTGGGCAAAGGGGGCTGTGGAGGGGGCTGCCTGAGGGGGGCACACACTGTCTCGAGGAGCTGGTCCCCTAGAAATCCCGGCCATGCTGTGCAGTGTCAGCTCCAGTGACTTCAGCGAAGGCGACAGGTGCAGTTTGTGCAAGCCGGCGTTTGACTCTTGCCTGCCTGTTCCTTGAACCAAGGCAGTGACATGCAGGTGCTCTGAGCCCTGCTGGCTGGGGGAGCAGCTTCCTGCCTTGGGGGCTTCTTTCAGAGCCTTCACAGCGGGAGGCTGCGCAGTGGCCAACAGATGACGACGTTCATGAGGCAAGTCCGGTGACTCGGTGCGTGGATCCTCGGGCCAGGGAAGAGCCCCATGGATATCCCTATGGCTCTGCCTCAGCGCAGGGGCTCACCTGTAGAGTTACCTGCTGGATCTGGGCTGAAATCACTGCTGGTCTGCGTGACTCATCAGCCACAGCAATGCTCCCTGTCTCCCGCTCCACCGCCCAGTCCCCACCAGCTCAAAAGGCAATCCAGGTGTGCGCAGGAGAGTGGCCAGTGGCTCTCATCCCACAGCCGGGTTGCACTGTTGCCTGATGCAGCAGTGCTCTAAAGAAGCGCTTCTCTCCAGAGCTGCGTGCCTCCTTCGTCAGTGAGCCGCAGAACCCAGTCGTGTGGGAACAGAGCTGTGGAGGGTTACAGGCTGGGAGGACTCACCTGTCCGCGAGATGATCTCTGGGGCGCAGCGTCTGCGGAATGGGCCGGTACGGACCATCGTGCGCCGTGCTTCTGTCCCATCTCCTCCTTCATTTTCTTTTCCAGAAAGGGACTACAGCAGCCTGTGTGACAAGCAGCCCATCGGCAGGCTGCTCTTCCGCCAGTTCTGTGAGAGGCGGCCGGAGCTGCAGCGCTGCATCCACTTCCTGGACGCTGTGGTAAGAGCCCCGCTAGTCGCCAGCAGCCCGGGGACTTTGGTGCTCCTGGGGTCGGTGCAGTTTGAAGCTAGGGCACCCTGCTGGTGTTCCTGACCTAGGTTAGGTTTTGGGAGGATCACGGCAGGAGGGATGTCTGTCTTGTATGGATTGCAGGGGGGATGACACTGTAATATATGGAGTGTAGGGAGTCCTGGGTTTGCTCTGTCGGGGGACGAGACAGGATGCAGCAAATGGAAAGCAATGGGATTCCGAAGGGAAGGGGAAAGTGGATGTAGGGGTGTGCTAGATGGGGGGTGTGGTGCGGGCCCCGGAGCTGTGGGAATTCCCATGTAGCATTGGCTCTGCCAATAACGGATCTGTCTGGGAGCTGGAAGTCTCTCAGGAACATGTGCAGTGAAACCAAAAACCCACCCTGCAGTGCGCACATAGCTCCTGATTGGAACAGTCCTCTGGAAACGTCCCACACTGCTTCCCGGGGACTGGCAATTGCTCTTAAAGCCTCCGAGGGATGTAAGATCGAACAAGGATCTTTTGCACCATCCTACAGCAGAGCTGTGAGGGCCCAGTGGGGCAGGGCTTTGGGACGACGCATGTGCTTCAGTTAGACACGGATGGTTGAACTGGGGCCATAGAGAATATCTCTGCCGTTGAATTCTGTAGGAGGGTTCAAAGCTTCTCTCTGGCTGTTCAAATGGCTTTGTAAATACCAGCCTACAGAGGTGTGATTTCCTAGGGCATTCACTAGGATGTTTCCATGAGGGAGAAGAGGTCACTCGCCTTCCGTCTACGTTCTTTCCCCGTTGTTGACTTGTTAGGTGGTCGTGATAGACAGGTGGCTTCTTAGATGCTGGAGAAAATGAAATTGCTAAAGTGCGCCCCTAGCTCCAGTGGTGTGCGGGCAGTACATTTCACAGCCCTTTCTAAGGCAGCCGTGCAAAAATTCCACCCTGATAACATGTAGCTTCAGTCAGGCCTTCTAGTGAAATCATATCTTTGTGTTCTCAAGGGCTTTTTGTTTTTCCCTCGAAGGTTTCCTGGTTCTGGAAGCATGGTCTGTCCAGTAGGGCTTGGTTTCACTCTGGGTCACACCAGAGGATTTGGGCTTTTTTCACTAGCTGACTTGAAGTTCTGATCTGAAATCCGTGTGCATCTGCTGTTACTCTCCTGATGCCAGGAGGCAATTTTAGATGCTGTTTAATAGAAAACGTAAGCCTCCTAGAATGATCTGTGTTTCCCATTACCAAATTGTTTATGTAACTAAGGGAGCTTTTGCCCTTCAGACTGAGAGGAGCTTGCTGAGTCCCATTTGGTTTGGGTCAGGGGAAAATCTCGCTCTGTGTTGAAGGAAGCAGCCAGTCCTGCCAGCAATTCAAGCTGGTGTACGAAAACTTAAGCATTTTTCTTTTTTTGCATAGTCTTGATGCATCTGAGCGGCAGAAAGGCCGATCCAGTCATATGGGTGTTTAATGGGAAACACATGCCTGAAAAACAACCCTGGGTTTGTGTGAGGTTCTTTGAGCTTATGGAAGATTTAATAATTTAAAAAAAAATAATAAAAAAAGTTTCTTGCCCATCTAAGTCAATTAAATAGAACTCTTCCAACCAAAGTTGGTCTGGTGGTTGCTGTAAGTGCAGGTATGTAACAAAGCCACAGGCTTTCTGTACCTTCTGGGACTCTTCCATGTCTCCAGATACAAACCCTTTTGTCTCCAGCTAGTAAAATTCTGCAGGATGTTCCAGCTCTTCCTTCCACCACTGTCCTTCCCTTTAATCCCCTCCTGCCTCTCTTGTGGGCTGAAAGAGCAACGCTGCGCTTCCTCCTGACCAACCTCACGCTGCCTTCCACACCTAGCGTCTGCCCTAGCCCCTCATTTGTTGCGATTCAAGGTGTTGATTTCAATTTTGCAACGTGAAGCATGTAGCTTCTGATGTTTCAATAAAATTTCGCATTCAAATGTCACCCGGAAAAATGGGGAGAACGTTTTTACTGAAGCCTTGGTGAAATTTGTCCCTGTTCTTGACCCAGCTGTGATGTCAGTCTCTAAAGCTCCAGACTGTTTGAGTCTGGGCTGCTTTAGAAGCAGTCTCTTCTATTTCATACCGCGAGCAGTCCCTGCATTCCCACACCAGCGGCTGACAACGGTTAAGCATCACTGTACACCAGGGTGATCGCCACGTTATCAGACCGTTCTCTTGCATACCTGGAGAGGAAAAATGTCCCTGAGCTATCATGCTGGAGAACTAGGTCTCTAGGCTAAGGCACAAGCCTCTGCCCTGGTTCTAATGCATGCTGTAACCACTTAGCTATGGACAGGGTAGGGCCCTCTGCTTGGGGAGTCCGTCTCCCACACAGCTGATAGAATGGGGTTCTTGTAGGGCACTGTAGGCAGGTCATATATTGCTTTACGCTGTTATCTGAGCTGGCAGAGCGGGGAACGCTTGGCTCAGTTAGCATGTAGAGTCCCTTTGAGGCTCATGTGAGTCACTCTGAGTCTGGGCGCACTGTAGAAACTGAAATGGAGAAGTTTCACAGACTCTGGCCTGTCCCGTCCATTCTCTGTGGATTGGGAGAGACAGTCCCTGGGGTAACTCCAGGCTGGTTCAAGATTCCAATCCTGGCTCTGGAATCTCCTCCTGAATTTGGGAGCTCTGCCTTGGAATGGCTGCATCCGGATACCCCTGGTCTCTGGCTCTCTGACCCTGATCTGGCGGGCGCTGGTGGGTGGGCTACAGTTCTCTGGCGTCAGGTGGGTTCTGAGTCCTGTGTGCTCTCTCCCAGCTGGTGTTTGGTGCAATCATGAGGTCAGATTCGGTTTGGCACAGCCCAGGGGGAAGGCAGCTTTGAGCACAGCATCATAGAGATGCCCCCTATGCTTCTGCACTTGGGAAAATTCTCTTCTGGCCTCTTCCTGGGCCTGGTGTGCTGCCAGAACAGTGTCTAAGGCCGGGTGGGGGCAGAGCGTCTCCATTGGCCTGAGCGTCTGTGCATCCGCTGGTCTCATTTCGCTTGGAAATGTCCCTGCCTGGCCCTGGCAGCGATTTGCAAAGGGCGTGTGGCTTCCTGGCTGGGATTACGGGCACCCCGGCCCTTTGCAGTGTGCATGTCATTGTTCAGGCCGCGCTCAAGGCCCTCCGGGCATGTTGGAAATTACAGAGAAGCTAATGACCGCGGCAACTGCTAACAGCTCGGTAAAGCCTCCCCAATGCCCTTCTTGTCTGTGAGAAGCCTGCGAACAGGGGCTAACCCCTCCGCACAGCTGTGGGTTTTCTCTTCCTGGCAGGGCTCCAGGTCTGTGCTGCTGTTGCATACCTCCCAAGCCAGGCAGCCTGGCATCATACCGGGGCAGTGTGGCTCTGCATGCATGGAGTTCTGTCGTGAGTCCCGGGAGGGTACTCACCCCGCCGTCTCCGTGCTGACGGTCCCAGTAAAGAAACCAGTTTCCAGTCTCGAGTAGTGTTTGTGATGCGGTGGGGCCCCGTTGTGCTGGGGAGTGGCGAACACAGGCAGTTCCTGCCCTACAGCGCCTACGATCTAACAAGGTGACGAGGGACCACGGGGGGAGCCGGAGGTGACACGGAGGTGGGTGCTATCGGTGTCACGGGCAGCAGACCCAGCACAGCAGTTGCCTAGCCATTGTCGAGTGTGGTGTAGGCCTCATGGCGGAAGGGAGCTGTAAGGAGGGATTGGCCAGCAGTGATTACTCCAGAGAAGCCAGGTGAGCAAGGCAGCGCGTTAAAGATACTGGTTAGGCTGTCCCCCACTCTCACCTACCTGCCTTTTGGTTTCTCTTTCCAGTGGTTCAAGAACAAATTTTTATTTTTATTTTTTTTGAGTCCTTGCTGGTGGGTTTCAAGTGACCCCCATGACAGTCGGGGGTGGTGTAAAGTCCCGCCTGGCTTACAAGGTCTCCGTCAAGTTGGAAGAGAGTAACTCTGCCAGTGCGTTGCACCCACTGGGTGGAAGAGACAGGTGGGCGGAAAAATTGCAACCCCAAGTCCCAGCCCAGCACGGAGGTGGTGGGGATGTGGAGCAGCGCCGAGGGGGTTTTAATGCCCAGTGTGTGTAGTTTGCTTGCTCTACTGGTGGACTTACAATTGTGGGGGCTCTGTCAAAACATGCACGGTGCACTGGGGTAAACTCAGGTCCACTTAAAGCCAGTTTAGTGAAACCTGGGCAAGCCCCAGTGTGGACACACTGATATTCACTTAAAACTGGGTATTTCAGTTTAGCTTGTGCCTGGAAATTTACCACTTCAGGCTAACTTGTTGAAAGCAGGATTAAATTAACATTTTGGTCCACACAGGGTTTGGCACCGGATTCCCTTGCTCGGCTTGCAGCCTTTCTGTGAGGTAACCCTGAGCAGCTGTGTGTGTCGCCCAGGCTTGGGTTGGGTTTCTGAGCCCCTCTTCCTGGCCCCAAGGTAGAGGCTGGACTCTCCCGCAGCAGCATTCGAGCTAGTGCAGTCGGTTTAGTTGCTGAGGAAAGTTTCACATGAAGCTATTCTCCAAAATGTGCTTTGGAGCCCTGATGAAATGGGTTTGGTCTAGTCACGAAACTGCTCTTCCACCTGTCCGTCCACACGCTCCCCTCTCGGCACTGACGGTCCGGCTGAAATACAGGCTCTGCAGCCCGATTCTGCCCCTGTGGGGCCTGTGCAGCCCCATTGTCTTTGCTCTGGTCAAAGACCAGGCACCCCTAGTTTTCAAACTGGTCAGGATCCACAGCAGTTGCTGAGGGCCTGACCTAGCCTGGCCGGCAGAGCCTCTGTTGCGGGTGGTGTTGAGTGGGGTGGAAGAAGCCTGTCAGATCCCGAGGGATGTGGGGACCAGGGAAGCGTTTTCACTCCCAGCTCGCTCCTTGCACAGGTAGAGGGGTGAGGCTTCACCTGCCTTGGAAGGCAACAGGGATTGGGCACTACGGGATGCTCCAGTGATCTAGCTTGACGTATCGCAAAGGGGAAAAGACGTGCCATGTGTAACACTGCGGTGTGCATGAGGCTGTCCTGTGGAAATGCTGCAGGACAGGGCCTGCGCCTGCCCGGTGCTGCATGCGGGGTCCTGGTCCCAGGGGCGTGCCTCTCTTCTTTCTGAAGGAAAGAGAAACTGCAGTGCTTTGGTCTCCTCCGGCCCCTCCAGCGTGCTGCCATCCGGCTCCAATTGTGAGCGACCCCCACAGCCCCTTTGCACGGCGGGCTGGTGCCACTCACGCTGGCAGAGCTGGCTTGTCGTGTTGTGACATCTCCCCGTGACATCCACCCTGCAGCGTGGGCCCCTGGGACTTGCTCCGGGATTACTAGCAGTCTCTGCGCACATCCTTGCCGGGTGCCAATGGGCTGGTGCCTCTTCACGGAGTGTGTTTTTCTTGGCACGTTGGCTCACGGAGGCTGCATGCCCAGGGGCCCTTGCAGGCTGTGCTGGCTTGTTGCTGGTGCTGGGGTTTGTTGCCTCTTTAGGAGGCTGGCTGCTGGCGGGAAATGTCACACCACATAGGGAGGGGAGGGAAATAGCCTGGGGCCATGAGGAGGCCCACGAGGAGTGTCATGCCTGCAGTGCACCGGGTCACATGTGGCACTGATGCCAGAGAGTTGCTTTCTGTCCACAGATGAATCGCTGACCTTGCGGATTGTCCTCCCCCGGGGGGTGGAGGGGTCCTAGTGGATTAAAGCAGTGGAGGCTGGGAGTCAGGACTCCTGGGTTCTGTCTCTAGCTCTGGGAAGGGAATGGAGTCTAGTGGGTTAGAGCGGAGAGGAAGGGGGCTGGATGCTGTCCCCAGCTGTAGGAGCAGACATGGGGTCTAGCAGGTTAGAGCAGGAGGCAGGGAGTCCAGACTCTTGGGTTCTATTTCCTGTTCTGGGAGGAAATGTGGCTCTGTGGCTAGCGCAAGTGGGAAGCCACTGGGTTTTATTTTAGACTCTGCCACTCACTGTGTGATCTTGGGTCCTGTCACTTAACCAATCAGTGTCTCAGTTCCCCATCTGTAAAGTGGGGCTATGGACAGCACCCTGGGTCGTGGGGGCTCTAATTGCCAACTGCTCTTGCTGTATCCTGTCTCGGCAAAGTGGACTGGTAACAGCTTGGTCCCTTTACAGCCCCCTCCCTTTCCCTAGCTTCTCGGGGCCTCAGTGGTCCTGCCGGAGCTGCCCTGCAAGGAGACCCCCCAGTCAGCGCTGTAGTTCAGGGCTGGCTCGGAGAGGCTTACTCAGCTCCTCATGGGACATTCCAGCCTGTTTGTTTCTCATGGCTGTCATCCAGTGGTCTTTTTATTAAGGAAAACACAGATGTCACTTGAGCCTTGAGAATGAGGGCGACCCGTGAGCCATCCCCGCTATGCTGGCCCTCCAGAGCCTATTTCCGTCCTTCCTGTTTAAGGCGGCCGAAGCCTGGGACAGTTTTGAGAGCACCTGCTCCGTTTTATTCCCCTGGTTGGCTCTCTTCCCAGCCCCCCTTTATTAGGGGACCGGGTGCTTAGCCAGCTTCACACCTGACCCTGCTGCACTATGGGAGAGGTGAGTTCTGACCGAACCCTTCGCCCGCGGCTCATCCCTGCCTCTGGGGGTCATTCCTGTGTCCTCTGTCTCCTAGCGCCCGGCCGAGTTCCCAAAACACTGGCCGAGGGAGCAGCAGGTCAGATTTTAATAGCCGCAGAGCGTGGCTCTTGGAGGAAGGCAAACCGCCAACACCCAATGGGGAGGCGTGGGTGGGGAGGTGGAAATCAGGGAGGAATGCCAGGAGGGGCTTGCAGGGGCCCCATGCCGACAAGAGCAAAGTGGGAAGGAGACACCAGGGAGGTTGTCCGGGTGCTTGGCCCAGGGTAGGTTTTTCCTGGTGCAGTTGGCTTTTTAATGAGGGTTTGGCCCAAAGTCCTGGCTGCTCCTGTGTCTGGGAGCTCGTCCCCTGCTCTCTGCCGGTTCAGACCCTGCAGGCCCGTTAGTGTTGGCGTTAGCGCCAGGTGGGCCACCGGAAGAACGAGCGGCTCTTGGGCGGAGTTGGCAGAGTCCGTTGCTGCCTAACAAGCACCGTCATGGGGGTGACCGGGGTGTTTGAGCCCTGGTGGGGTCCATGCCCGCTTGCCGGGGGGAGCCGAGCAAAGCCAGGTCTCCCCTGCTCCTCCGCCTGGAGCTGTGTCTAGGAGGCCTTGCAGCGAGTGCTTAGCAGAGCCCTGGGGTCCCCGAATGTGGGTGAATCCCCCCGAGCAATGTGTCATGTTAGCTCTCCCCAAGGCAGTGTGCGAATCCAGGCTGTTCCGGCTGGCGGCTCCCCCGCCTTCGCAGTTGCTCGTTGTTTGGTTATAAATGGCTCCCACTGTCCGTACAGCTGTTCCTTTTGTTGGGCTGGTGGGTGGGAACATTTGGCTGTACACCCCCCGGCCACGCTGGCTTCTTGCCTGTCCCGGGAGCCGTACTGCAGGGAGGGGATGGTTAGCCCAGTGCCAGTCACCCTGAGTGTGGGGCAGAAACCCACGAGCATCTACACTCGCCAACAATAATGTCACGCAGGTAAATGCAGTCAGGCCCTGTAGGGGTGCCCAGGTCACCTGGGAGCCGTCCAGGGCACCAGCCGTGATGCCATGGCAAGCAAATAGGTGCTGATCCCATGAGCTGCAGCCTCAGCCCCAGTGGTGCCCAGCACAGGGACTGGGTCTGTACCTGGGGAGTGTGAGCGCCGCACAGAGCCTGTCCCAAGACCATGGCAGGCAGGCCTGACCTGGCAAGGGGTGTCGTGGCCAGACAGGGGGGAGAGCGTCTCGGCAGAGCTCCAGCACAAAGGGCGAGAAAGGTCAGGTCAGGCCAGGCCTGCTGGCCCTGGGACAGCTGGGGCAGGGCCTGGTGCTGAAATCCCTTCACAGCCCGGTTCTGTAATGCTGCCGGCCACTTCAGCCGTGGAGCCCGTGCTTGGTGCCAGTAACCCCCTGAATCCAGGGCAGCGTGTGGCCCACAGGGTGGAGAGAGGCGAGGGCTGGCGCTGCGGGGTTTGGGAGGAGTCCCAGGCCATCCAGTCTTGTCTCCAAGGCCAGGTCCTGATGTAAGGGCTGGAGGGGGAACCGTGGCGCCTCCAAGCACTTGGCAGCGTTCCCTCTGTCAGGAGGCTCCCTGGCAGTGCCAGGCAGTGGGAGGCAGAGGTGTGGAACCAACCCGGTGTCAGCCCTTTGGTGTTGGTGCCATGGTGACATGGCAGAGCCCTGCCTTGCCCATTGCTGGGGGGTGGGCCCTTGGGGCCAGCTTCACAGCTCTGGGCTGTGCCTGTTTGGGTCTGGGGTTTTGGTTTGAGCCAGGCAAACCCTGGTGTGGTTCCAGCCAAGGCTGGAGCGGTGCTGAAATGTACCAGGCCTTGCAGAACAATGACCGCTGGACCGTCCAGCCCGGCTCAGTCTGATGCCTCTTTATGCCCCGCCCAGATCGATTACGAGCTCTCTCCGGATGAGCGGCGCAAGGAGATGGGCGACGAGATCATCCGAAGGTTCTTTAAAAGGGAGGTGAGTGTGTGCCCGGTCCCCCCGCCCCCCAGGGTGAGCACAAGGGGAAGGAGGCAGGCAGAGGCTGGCCAGAGGGAAGTGTGCCTCTGCCGAGCAGCATGCGCTCTCTGTGAGGGGAGGGTGCCCCTTGCTGGCAGCATGGAGAAGATGCAGGTCTGCGTCCCTGCCGGAGCGTGGGGTCTCAGCTGCACTTTCTCTCACGCTGCCCTTGCTGGGCTAGACAAGGTGTGAGGAGCCTCGCTGTAAGGCCCTGGGCTGCCTGGGGCTGGGCAAGGCAGCTTGGTGTCTCCCATGATTCCTACCCAAGAATCAATCAGGTAGGTGGAAAATACCCAGGTGGGGAGCTGGCTGGGCTTGGGGGCTTCAGCCAGGACTCAGACCTGCCGTGCTCTCCTTTCACCTCAGTCTTCAGACTACATGCCGGAAATCAGCCAGGCCCTCATGAAGCAGTGCATGGAGAACCTGGAGAAAAGTGCCTGTAAAGACCTCTTCAGCAGCTGTCTGGCGTGAGTACTGGGCTTGGCCTTGAGCGGCGCTGTGCGTGATACAGCGTGGCCATGATCCACGGGGCTGGAGAGGGGTCCTCCAACGGGGCAGCCGGGAGAGCAGAGCTAACATCCCCTTCTCTCCCCTAGTCCTATGCACGGGTACCTGAGCGGAGCGCCCTTCGCCGACTATCGGGACAGCATGTACTTCGACCGGTTCCTGCAGTGGAAGTACTTGGAGAGGTGAGTGAGGGCTGCTGTCTCTGGGCTGCATTCGACTGAGCTGAGCTGGGATCTTACAGGCCTTAAACACGCCTTGCGGCTTTGTCATTTCAGGCAGTCGGTGACCAAGGACACCTTCCGGCAGTACCGGATTCTGGGCAAGGGGGGCTTTGGAGAGGTAAGGCTGTGTCGCCGGAGCAGGGGGCTCAGGGGCTGGGCAAAGGCTGGTTTCCCTGAGGCGTGGCACAGGCTCTCCAGCCTTTGTGGAAAATAATCCCCTTTGATGGCAGCACCAGCCCGGCGGGCACTGGTGCCTGGGAGATGCTGCCAGCTGGTGAGGCTCTGGCCTCCAAGCACTGCTAGCCCCAGGAGCACTGGGCAGGGGCCTGTCTGCCAGGCTGAGGGGGCCTAGCCCAGAAACGAGGTGATTCAAGCTCTGAGAGGCCAGTATGTGGGCACAGCCCTGTGGTGAGGGGGATGGGCACAAGGGCATTGTCTGTCCCTGTCCACCGCGGGGGAGTCTGGGGCTAGCCGATGGGAACGTGCAGCTGGGCCCTGCTGGCTGGCCCTTGGCTGGCTTTGTGTGGCCAGGGGGCTGCTTGGGGCTGGCTGAGTTGAGTGGCCTGCACTTGGCACGTTGCCCCAGACGCAGAGGAACTTTGTAAAGACAATTGGAGCAGATAAGTCAGTTTACTGCCGGCCAGGAAACCCCATGATCCCCTGGGGGAAGGCCCCTTGCCTTTTGCCCAGATGGGATCAGGAAGCTGAGTTGTTGCCCGAGAATCTGTTCTCCTGGTGGCTCTGGACAGAGATGTGGCTTTGGTCGGGCTGGAAGGATAATGCCAGGCCCTTGGCCCAGGGGTCTCCTTCAGCTAGTCCAGTCCCATCTCCCAAGCACCAGGCACTGCCCTTCTCGGCCTCCTCACGCTGCGCTGTGTCTGTGCCTCCAGGTCTGCGCCTGCCAGGTACGAGCAACAGGCAAGATGTATGCCTGCAAGAAGCTGGAGAAGAAGCGGATCAAGAAGCGGAAAGGGGAGGCCATGGCCCTGAACGAGAAGCAGATCCTGGAGAAAGTGAACAGCAGGTTTGTGGTGAGTGTCGCTCTCCTGAGAGCTGGGCTCCCAGCCCCTCCTGGTGCTGCTGCTTCCTGCCTCCTCTGGCTCCGGGACGGTTCGGGAGCCCTCCTCCCTGGAGCTGGCCATCGGGGGGACCCTGCTGGGTGTCAGTGGGATGGAGACGCCCCCACTCTTCATCACGTGGGTTGGGACTGGCTGTGTTTGCAAAGGGGTGGCTGGGTTTGAAGTGAAGCACGCAGAAGGGGGGTGCCATGGGGACCCAGCTGGCATGCACCCCTGTGCCCTCCGGTCCGTACAACCCAGCGACTGCCCCCACCCGTAACCCCGATGCTGCCATGGTGACAGGCAGCTGTTGGAGGCCTGCCTGTGGCGAGGGTGCCAGCTCTGGGGTGTTCTCGCAGGTCAGCCTGGCCTATGCCTACGAGACGAAGGACGCGCTCTGCCTGGTGCTGACCATCATGAACGGGGGTGACCTCAAGTTCCACATCTACAACATGGGCAACCCCGGCTTTGAGGATGAACGCGTCGTCTTCTACGCGGCCGAGATCTGCTGCGGGCTGCAGCACCTGCACCAGGAGGGCATTGTCTACAGGTGAGCGGGCCTGGGGCAGGGGGCCTGACTCGGGCCGGCCATGGCTCCCCGCGAGAGCTGCTGGGGAGGAGCTATGCAGCGGCAGTGCCCGTCTCCAGGCAGCAGACTGGCAGTGCCCAGGCTGTGGGGTCAGGAGCATGCCCTGTCCCGCTACTGAGCACTTGCTCACCCAGGGAGGAGATGGTCCCCGAGGCAGTCCCTCTCTCTCTCCCCATGCCAGGGGCTGCAGGGCCCCTCCTGATCAGCTGGGCACTCACGGAGTTCTGCATGCCGGCCCCGGGCCTCCCCTTCCCTGCGCTGCTCTGTGCCTGTCCTTTCAGGCTCTGCCCGCTGTCAGGCCACAGCTTTCCCCAGGCCTTGGGTCTGTGCTCCTGGCACGAGATGCTGGGCCATGCCCTCCCTCTTCTCTGACTAGGATCTAGCCCATCCTCACAGCCTGGGATGTGAGACCCAGCTCTCACGAGTTAGTGGCACCAAGCTGGCCAGCAGCGTCCGAGTGGCTCTCTGGGTCCCCCAGTGTACTCAGCTGAGCCAACGAGCCCCAGCTGGCATGCACTGCACGTGCGAATGTAGCCGTGCCTGGGCTGCCACGGTTGTCTCGTTCTGAGCTGGGCCTGTCTCTCCTCCCCAGGGATCTGAAGCCAGAGAACATCCTGCTGGATGATGATGGTGAGTGGGGAACGTCCGGGGGGAGCTGCCAGGGTCTACACGGCCCCTTCCCAGGCTGGTGGGAGCGTGAGCCCAGCTGGCTCCTCCTGGCCGTTCCTTGGCTCTGGCTCTCTTCACTGCGTCGGCTTGCACTGCGTATTCCACCCCGGCTGGCCCCCAGCCCTGAGCCGCCTCCGGGGCGGGGGACGGGCTCCCTCCTGCCCCGGCTGGTACGGCTCACCCCACAAGCTGGGAGTGGCAGTGATGGCCTGGAGGCGGCCCCAAAGACAGCAGCCCCCGATCCACATTCATGTCAGGGTGAAGGGGGCAGACAGGCCTGCTGGGGGGAGCGGCTTCAGGCTCTAGGCATCGGGCCTGAGATGCCCCCCTGGGAGCAGTGTCTGGGCCCACGTGGGGCAGGGGCAGTGACTCCCAGGTCAGACTAAAAGTGGAGGCTCTGTCTGCTCCACGCTAGGGGGTGCGGAGCTGGAATTCCCCACCCAGCCCCGTGCTGCTGCGCTCACCCATTTGCTGCATTTCGCTGTTGCTGGGGGTAGAGGTGGTGCCATGCTCTGGGATGGGAGGGGACGATCGTCGTGTTTAATCAAGCTGGCATCAAGCGCTCTGCCCCCTTCGGGAGAGACATCGCATGCATTGCTTTTCTCCTGAGGTCAGTGGCTCCCTCTGTTCCCCTCTGGGACTATCTTCCCGAAACCCATCTCCTTAGAACAGCCCAAGCAGCTGATGCCTCAGTCCCCGAAGGACTGCCTGCTGAAGGGAGGCAGCAGGCCATGGAGCTGGGAACCCCGGATGGCTTGGGAGTGGTGGGCAGTCCCACCGCTGAGCCTTCTGATTTCCCTCCCGCGGCAGGACACATCCGGATCTCGGACCTGGGGCTGGCCATTAAGATTCCGGAGGGTGAGATGATCCGCGGCCGCGTCGGGACCGTCGGCTACATGGGTAGGTGTTGGGGCTGCCCGCGCCAGGGGTAGAGCGGGAGGTGGCGGCTGGAAGCCAGAGCTCTGGGCCAGGTGCTGGTGTCAAGAGGGAAGCCGCTAGGCAGGACGGCTGTGCTCTGTGGCGGGGCCCTTCTCCCACCTGTGGGCAGCCTGGCCTCAGGGCCTGGCTGGGAGCCGGCGAGTGATTCCGAATGGGGTTTGTTTGAGGGCTGTCCCCTGCTCTCGCCCCGCCAGCTCCAGAGGTGATTAACAACGAGCGCTACACCTTCGGCCCGGACTGGTGGGGGCTGGGCTGCCTGATCTACGAGATGATCGAGGGGCAGTCGCCGTTCCGTGCCCGCAAGGAGAGGGTGAAGCGGGAAGAGGTGGAGAAGCGGGTGCAGGAGGATCAGGAGCTGTACTCCGACAAGTTCACCGAGAACACCCAGGCCATCTGCAAGATGGTGAGTTGGCAGCTGGAGCCGCCGTGCCCTGTGCCCCTCCCTCAAGGCCTGTCTGTCCGCAGTGGGGGCCGGCGCCCTGCAGCAGGGGTGTCCAGGCCTGCTCTGCTGGGGGCCCTGCCGGCAGGGCCAGATTTGTGAGTATGTGGCTCCTCCCTGACCCCAGGCGCCCGCTGTCTAGAGCCTGCTGCTGCTCAGCCGCAGACACTACCCAGCTTCCAGCTCTGGTGAAGAGGGGAAGCGCTGAGAGGAAGTCCCACGCCCCGAGACATGGCTCTGCTGACCCACCCCCCGGGGTAAACAGCGTTGGGTCGAATTCTTCCCTCGACCGGGCAGCCGCCTCTCGGGGAGGTGGGTTAGCTCCAGCTGCGGGAGGACGTCGCTGCCGCGTTCAGTTTGTGGACACCGCCCCAGCCCCTCTGTGAATGGTGGGTGATGAGACTCTTGTCGGTGCAGCGTGAGCTCGCCAGGCAGGGACCGTCTCGCTGGGGCTCTGGGCTCATTGGGGCCTGGAGGTGCCCCGTCCGTACACAGGCTCCTCCCCAGCCCCCTGCCAGGCCGGGTGCCACCCCAGTGCTCTCCTGCGTGCCAGGCTGTGGGGGCAGCGCTGGGTCGCTCCATCTAGCCCGCTGCGCTGCGTTCAGTCCGCATCACCCCCCCGTGTGACCACGGGGCCTCGGTCCGTCTCCCCAGCTCCTGACCAAGGACCCGAAGCAGCGACTGGGCTGCGGGGAGGACGGGGCCGCCCAGGTGACCCAGCATCCATTCTTCAGGACCATCAACTTCAAGCGGCTGGAGGCCGGGGTCATAAAGCCGTCATTTGTGCCAGATGTAAGAGCCCAGGAGGGGCAGGGTGGGGGCAGAAGGGCAGGCAACATGGCACAGGCCAGGCATCGGCGGGGAGGGCCACAAGTCAGTGCTGGGCCAGTGGTGATGGGCTGATCCTCCTGTGGCTGCTGGTTGAGTCTGAGGGGGCTGCCTCCCCAGCCCAGGGGAGTGGGCCCTGGAGCATGCTGGGGGCAGTCAGTCCCATGCCCCATGCTGAGCGCTCTCTGTGGGTCATTCAGCTCTGGGGTATGGGCCCTGGGGTGATCAGTCCCCTGCCCCACGCTGAGCACTCTCCGTGGGCCCGGCACTTCCCTGGGGCGGTCAGTCCCCTGCCCCACGCTGAGCGCGCTCTCTGGGTCGTGCAGCACTGGGGTATGGGCCCTAGGGCGGTCAGTCCCCTGCCCCATGCTGAGCGCTCTCCGTGGGCCCGGCAGTGCCCTGGGGCGGTCAGTTCCCTGCCCCACGCTGAGCACTCTCCATGGGCCCTGCAGCCTCGGGCCGTGTACTGCAAGGACGTGCTGGACATCGAGCAGTTCTCCACCGTCAAGGGCGTCAACCTGGACCAAACGGACAGTGACTTCTACGCCAAATTCGCCACGGGCAGCGTCTCCATCCCCTGGCAGAATGAGGTACGGGGCGGGGGGAGGGATTCAGCCATAACAACCGAACACCCCCCTCACCCCACTATGTGTCCCTGCAGACAGTGCCCCCATGGCTCTCTCTGGCACAGCAGCTGGCAAGGAGGGAGGCTGAGTCCATATTGCTGGCCAGGGGGCTCTGGCCTGTCTGCTTTCCCCATAAGAAGATTGGTGCCCTGATTCCCGAGCCCTCTGCCTCCGTGCCAGGGCTGTGGGGCGCGCCAGGGTGTGCAAACTCCTCTCAGGCAGGATGGGTGGTGGGCTTCCCTCTTGGGCAGCTGGTTCCCACGGCAGGGTCTGGGAGGAAACCATGCTGGGGTAGAGCCTGGGGGAGCTGGGATCCAGGCCTCTGCCCTACAGCTGCAAGCCCTGAGGAGGGTGGGTGGGAATGGAGGCTGGGTGACCCAGCAGGAAGGAGCTGCCCTGGGAGGAGGGGCAGGAGCCCCATGGCTTAAACTGAGGAATACAAAGAGCCTGATCCTGCCCTAGCCCCATGGGGCTGTCCCTCCTCTTGCTGGCTCCCAGGGATGGCACTAGTGTGCTGTCACCCCAATGTATCCAGCTTGGCCAGCCCCCTGCTCCCAGACACACAGGGAGACTGCCCTCCCCAGGGAGCCTGCCTCTGATCGCCTGGGGAACGGTCCCATCTCTGGGCTGCCTGTGGCCCCGGGCGCCTCCCGCTGAGCTTTCCCCTGTGCGCCTCTCCCCAGATGATCGAGACCGAGTGCTTTAAAGACCTGAATGTGTTTGGACCAAATGGGTTGCGCTCCCCGGATCTGGACTGGAAGCAGCTCCCCGAGCCCCCCAAGCGCAGCCTGCTTCAGCGGCTCTTCCGGCGGCATGTAAGGCCCGTTGTGTGTCCTGCCCACGGTCCCTGAGGTGTTTGCCCCGCCCTGGGACCCTGGCCTTGCTGGGGTTCCCCCATGCACTGCAGCAGGTGCTGGAGACTGCCCCGCTCCACGCCTGCTTTCAGCCAGCACCTATAGCCAAGGCTGGCTCGACGCTGACCCACTCCGGCCCAGGGGAAGCCAACGCCCCTTCAGACCAGCAGAAGGCATCTCATGGCTGAGACTGGCCCGGTAACCCCCCGTCGGCTGTGTGGACGCCTTTGGCCCACGCCGGCCCCGGCTGGTTTCTGTGCCGTTGGTATGAAGGGCTCGGGCACGTAGCCAGCCCTGACACTTCCCTCCGTGGGTGGGTATCTCTGCCCAGCTGGGCTGCTGCCCTTGCAGACGTCCTGGCACTGAGGGAAGGTTCCTGGGGTCTCTCTAGTAGCCCCTCCCCTGTCCCTTGCCTTCCTGGCCAGGCTGATCGTGGGGGAGCCCGTGGCTCGCAGGCGGGAGTGGCTGAGCCCCTATCTGACGCTCTCTGTCCCTGTCTCCCCCGCAGCCGGCGGACTACACCATCAGCACCAACACACACTCCAACCTCACAGCGGGCGTGAACTCGCATCCGCCCACGGCCAACTCCGCCGGCCAAGGCCGGGCCATGGCGCAGGCGCCTTCCTGACCCCCCTGCTCCCATGGAGACCCTGCTCCGTTAGAGCCAGCATGGGCACGCCCGGAGCCCGCCCGTGGAGCTGCCGTCCTTGCCGTCTCAGGGTTACCGTGGATGTGAAGCTGAGGCTGTTGGCGCCAGAGCTGGGGTGAGGGGCTGTTCCGTCACCCTGCCCTGCTGGGCTGAGTCACTCCTGGAGGCCGAGTGGGAAGATGCAGCCCCCGCCCAGGACTGCGTGCCAGATACTCTCACTGCACCTCACCCCATCCGCCTCGCCTCTGGGTAACCGGAGCCCTCTCAGCCCTGCTCCCGGGGGCCCGTCGCGCTGGCAGGACCTGGCACGGCTGCATGCCAGGCACAGACTGCTCAAGGGAGCCTGGATCCATCTGTGTGTTCACGCGGGAGGGTGGAGTCGGTGTTTGTTGTTGCCAATAGCTTCCTTGCCGTGATCACTGGGGTGGCCTCTCCCAGCTGCTCCCGCTGTGTCCCCCCAACGCGGTTCCTGCGGCAAACCCTGCCCTGGGAGGTACTGTCGGCATTGTGCCCACCCTGCATCTGTCGGGGAGAGGGGGGCTCCCCCGGTGTTACACCCCTGCCTGTGGGGTCTGGGTGAGAGGAGGGGCGGGGCTCACAGCCCAGGTGGGAGCCCCTAGCTGCTCAGGCTGAATAGGGGCTGGCCATAGCCAGCTGGCTGCAGAGACCCGGGGGCAGGTGTGCAGTGTGTATTGTCACTGCTTGGCTCCTCTCAGTCCCGGCTGCAGGTTGGGATTGAGGGGCACCAGCAGGGTTGGGGAAGCCCAGGCCGGGGTAGCAAGGAGGCTGTTTGAGTGGAGTAGGACCCAGGGGCCCTTGAATTTGGGGTCACGAAGGCCATCAGTCAGTTGCACCCACGCTCCCTTGCTGGAGAGAATTGGTGAAGGGAGCAATGACCAAACCCCTTCTCCTCTCACCCTCCCCGCAAACCCAGCACCTCCGGCTTCCCGCACCGCTTCTGTTCTCTAAGCAAGTGTCCCAAAGAGTCAGTCAGTTCCCCTCCGACTCCTGCTCCTGCCCTCGGCCCAGCGGGAGGTCGCTCCTGGTTCTCTCAGCTGCCACCTACCCAGGGTCTAGCAGCCTACGACGATAGCTCATAGCCTGGCCCAAAGGGTGAGACTAAGACCCCCTGACCCTGCATGGGAGAGTCTTGCCATGGGACTGGCCACGGGCCCCTGGGCTGCCACTTGCCTGGGAGCAAGCCATGGCAGGGAAGTCGTCTTGGCTTCGGGCTGGAACGCAGGCGGCTGGGAGGTGCTGTGGGCTCAGGTGGGACCTGAGCGCTGTTGCTGAGTGGGGATGGAGGGGGGGCAATCTGTTTTCATAGCACCTGAGCCCCAGAGCTGCTTGTTGTCTCATGGCGAGCATTTGTGTGCTGTTAGGGGCCTGGCAGCGTGCAGGGAGCCCGGCACTGGGCCAGACATGGTTTGTGTTTTTATCTTTAGGGTCTGTGCTGGCCTTGTGCCTGGGAATCTGTCACTCTTAACATATTTGGTGCTAAAGCAAGAGCTGCTCTCAGCGGAAGAAACTCGGGCTGTAAGCAGGGGAGTGAAGAGTTTTCCATGGAACCACCCCCTAGCATGAACTGCTGAATGCGCACCCAGCATTCGCTCAGACTTCAGCGTGACTCAGATGTCTTCATACAGCCCTGGATGCCTCTTTGCTCCCCTGCTGAGGCCAGAGTAAAGACCCCCTCTCTTGTCCCACTGGCTGGTGTCCCCACCCCCTAGGGCTGGGTAGGGAAGGAAGCCCCCAGTTCTGCCTGGTGCTAGCGACATCATGAGCTGTGACAAGGGAAACGCTTTTCAATTCCTCTTTATGTGAAACAATTCCTTCGTCTCCACCCCCCAGGTCAGTAGTTGCCAAAAGAGCTCCTTTGCAAAGGCTCCTCTCTCGAGATTGGCCCGTGAGGCTTTGTTGTCCCAAGAGCCGGGGCTGGCAATAACAGACTCCTGAGCCGTGCCAGATCTGCCAGGCCGAGAGTGGCAGACTCGTTGCACTTTGTGGCTTTGCCCTGATTCCAAGTCCAATGCACAATCCCCCTTTTGTTCTCCGGCCTCACCGCTCCTTGGGGAACTCGATGGCGGGAGTGGGCCACAAGGTCCAGAGGGGCACGTAGCCCAGCTCTTCCAGCCCCAGCTGCTGGCTGTTGAGGGAGCTGCACGTTCTGCCCGGCTGCTAGGCTCATCGGAATCCAAACAAGATGCTCCATGTGGACAATCTGCCCCATGGGACTCGTGTCCCAAGGGAGGGGCTCTCTGATGTGGGGACCAAGGTTAAAGGCAGGCTGTGCCGTGCAGTCCCACTCGAGCTCTCCCTCTCATCATGCCTAGAGCAGCGGGTAAAGCTGGCCACCCAGCTGACCCCTGCCATGGTCCTCTAGGCCTGACCAGAACGCACCTTGAGAGCCGTGCCCCAAAGATTAGCCATTTCTGTCTGACTGACACCTGCCCCCTGTGGTAAGAAAGGGTATTACAGCCTTATGCTCCTCCCCTTTCTCAGCTGGAGCGTGAGCCATGCCTGTGGTGACCTCAGCAGGTCCCACATTCGAATTACTTCCAGCGTGAGCATGTCTCCTCTGGGGAGGGGGAATCTCTGGGAGCACAGCAGGGTGATGGGGTTCCAGGCCTGGCTGGACTCCTGATTACTTGGTGGTTGTGCGGGAGGAATCTTCACCTCTCCAGTCTGGTTTGCACTGGTGGAACTGGGAGCTGAGTCCCTGCTGGTGGCAGCTGCCATGTAGGCGGGCTGGGGCCCGTCTCTCACCCAGCTTTGAGCCCGGCCCGCACGACAGCTCTCGCCAGCGGGGCTGTGGTGCTGGTGACTTGTGGGTCCCATCTTTGCCAGTGCGGATAGAGCTGTCATTGCTGGTGAAATGTAGGGTGATGGCACAGGAGTAAGGCTGCTCCCAGGGAGCATTGCTGGAGCTAAGCAGTTGGGGTCTGGGTTTGGTCTCTGGAAGTGTCTGTGTCCCAGGCATTGGCTTGGCTGGACTGGCGTGGATCTCGCTTTGCCCTGGTCTTGGCAACCTGCTTGGCTAGAAGTGCAAACAGATCGGGGGAAAACAGTGCAATGTTGTAGGAGATTTAGATGCATCAATGGAAGATGTGTCTAAATCCTCTAGACTGTTGAACAGCCTCAACCCAAATTAAAAAAACACTGATCCCTCTGCACTCAAGTTACCAACAGGAACCGAAACAGAAAATGGTTGCAAAAAGTTGTATTCTTGTTTCCTTCATGCATTTCGCTCAGCTTGGAGGCAGAAATTAGGTAGGTTGGTGTCAGTGGGTTTCACTTCCTAGTTCTCCAGAACCAGCCCAAGATTGCAGAGTGTGGGTTGCAAATGCTGCAGGAGGAGGTGTAAAACCAGACTAGGTGTAGTTCATTGACACTTTCAGGCTGCTCCAAACAATTGTTAAATTCTGTGAAACACTTCATTTAGGAAAAAGTAACTCTTGGGCCTAGATGACATGACTGTCCCTCTGAAAAATACAGACTGATGGCTTTGGTGTAAATGAACTGGGAAAGATTGTTTCAGATGCCATGTCTCTTATCCCTGGAGCCTCAGCAGACATCCTGAAATAATCCGTGCTTGGTTTTTTGAATTCTGTTTTGGGGGCTGGGCAGAGAAAGTTTCTTGAATATGATTGTATCCTGCTCCATCTCATCGGAGAGGAAAGTGTGTTCTGATACCATTGAAAACAAGGTGTGTGAGAGAGAAAATGGGTGTGTTTGTTTAACAGACTGAGAACTGCCTTTTGCTGAAAAGATGCTCCGTGACCCACGGACCTTGTCCAGAGAGAGACTGTGTGCCGCATGGACAGTGTCTGTTTCTATGCAAGGACAGGGTGGTGGTCTCATGCCAGTTTCTCCAGCGGGCAGCCCTGGGGATTCCAAACAAGACTGAATTTCCCCCTTGCAAAAGGACACCTGTATTTTTGTATTTTCCTTTCTCTCAGCATCCATGGGCTTTGGATTGGTTTTTTACACTGTAAATTCCTGGTTCTGGTGTATTCAGTTTGGTTTTTGTACATTTGTAAACATTTGTAAATACTTATATGGTGAGTGCCTGGATGTACATTTTAAAGCTAAAAGCAGCAAACCAAGCCATGTGATGACTTGTACACTTCCATGTTTCAGGGATATTTTTATAGGGAATTTAAAACAAAACAAACCCAACCTCTCAGAGGAAAAAGGGGATGTCGCTTCACCCCAGTCGAGGAGAAGCCCTCTTACTCCGCTGTATTTTTGTAGTAAGCTTTTACAACTTTCTAATTTGTAATTTAATTACAGGACTATATTTTAGGTTGGTTTTCTTTTTTTCCGCTTCCATTTTGTAAAGCACTGAAATTACATGCGTGGTCATTTTTATTTTTTGGATTGTGCCCTTGTAACTTTCGGATATACAGGTATTTTTGGTTTTCCTGCCCCCCACCAGTAACAATATACACACCTTCCCCTAGAAACATGAGTGCTGTGTGTGTATGTGATACTTTCCATTTCACTGATCAGCCACGCAAGTTTGTCAAAGCCATTCAGTAGGGAGTGCAAAGAAAAGGCTGGGTCCTGCAACCAGATCCGTGCAGCTGGACTCTTTGGGCTTCATGTGGGTGTTGGGGCCAGCCCAGGCAGGTGCGATCGCAGGATTGAGGCCATAACCTGCAGCAGCAGTCTGGCTGGCTGTCAGTGCTGCTCCGTGGAGTGTAATCTGCAGGCTTCCGGCCTAGCTGAGTTAACTTCAACACACAAGAATCTTCTGAATAATGAGGGGAGAGAGCTCCTTCCGAGGGACGTTTTCCTGCAGCGATAACACTCCTTAGCTCCTCAGCCATGACTCCCAAAGCATTTAACAGAGGTAGGTGCCATCATCTATCTCACAGATATGGGGAAACTGAGGCACAGAGCGGGAATGTTCCTTAAGGTGTCTTAGGGACATGGTGACCGCATCCGCTGCTGTGCTCTCAGCACTGGCCCATGCTGCCGCTCTAGAAACAGAGGCTGTTGGTTCTCTGCCAGGCCCCCATGTGCCCTAGCAACCCGTCACTGGTGCTAGGGGTACATGGCGACTGCATAGCTAGGACTCTGCTGATCTCCCCACCAAATAAGATGAGTCCCATAAGCCCTGAGCCCCTTCATCCTCCGTGCGGTTCCTGAGTGCTTCCCCTGTAGCCCATTAGAGGGGTAAAACGGTCTTTGAAACAACCCACCCGGCTTTACATGTCCTTTTTTCAATGAATTGTCAGACCCCTGAGCTGCAGGGAGCTCTCTTGGCCACTGGGTGGCCCCAGCGGGAAGCAGTGCAGGGCTGTCAGATTTCAGCTCCGCACCCAACGTGGGGGGTGCGCCCCATGAGCTGGGCTCTCCTCAGAGTCTGGCCGAGGCCCTGCAAGCAGGCCAGGAGAGGCTGAGCAGAGGGTGAATGCCAGTGCAAGCGGGCAAGGAGAGGCCGGGCGGAGGGGAATGCCAGTGCAAGCGGGGACCCTGGCAGGGAGACGGGCTCTGGTGGACTTGGCCCTTGCTAGGGGACACAGGTGTCTGCAATGCACACAGGCTGCTGCTGTAGCCCAACTGTGTCTGCAGGAAACGGGACACCAGGCCCAGCTTCTGCTCTGGCCCTTTTACCCCCTCTTGCGCTGCAGATGCCTGAGGGCCTGCTGCCCTCTGCAGAACTCCATGAGCCGCCCCTCCAGGAGCTGCTGCCCCCAGCTCTCTGGGCCCCCAAAGTGACCACGCTGAAGACACGTCCCCTCTCTGCTGGACAGGAGCAGCAGCAGGGCAAGCGTCCCCCTGCTGCATCTCACAAGGGGGTAGCAGGGCCCATTGCAGCCCGCAGTGGGGCGGTTGGGGCGCTCCTGGAGTGCAGTGCCATTTCCCCCATTGTTGGCCAGCGCAGGCAGGGGGTTACGCTTCTCGCCGCTTGCCCAGGCAGGGAAAGGAAAGCGCCCCGTAGTGCAGACCCCTCGCCTACACCCCCCTGGGGCCAGTCCTGCAACCTGCGGTGTTGAGGGTAGCGCCCTGAGGGAGCGTTTCCACCCCTGCCACGGGAGCAGGCCGACGGGGTGCTGGCTGGGGTGGCAGGCTCTGTGGTAGGGGAGGGGGAGCTGACAAAGGGGCCCAGCTGCCTGGAGGGGTGGGGAAGCTGGATTCTAGCATCTCCACACCCCTCCCTAGCTGCAGGGCCATTGGCAGCTCCCCGCTTTGTGCCGCAGCATAGGCTGGTGGCAGGTCCTTGCTGCCCCGCCCTTGGGAGCGGTCTGTGCTCCCTCCCGGCGCTCTTGCCCTCTGCACTGTTACCACATGGCTCCCATGCAGCGCTGTGTGGGGAGGAAAACCAAATGGCAGTGCCCGAGCCCCTGCCCACCCTTGGTGAGTGGGTGGGGCAGGCCTGCGGAGAGCTAGTCCATGGATCAGCCTGTATCGGAGCCTGGCACAGGTTTCAGACTGAAGCCAAAGCCCTGTCTGCTAAAGCCCCTCACACACCTGCAAGCTGCTGCCTTCCCCCTAACGATCAATTAGCACCAGCCTCCTCCCACAGGTGCCACCAATGGGCCCCTGGTGCAGAGAGGGCTGAGCTCTTCTGCTTGTTCCTGTGGGAAGGGGAAGCTCCCAGGCCTACTTGCAAGGGGGATTTTTCCTGCAGGCTGTCTGCCTTTGCCCTCTGGCTAAAAGCTCCTGTCTGGAGCCCGGGAGAAGACTCAATCCCCAGCTCCTGGAGAACAAGGTAAACCACTGTAGTGACTGCAACTTAAAAAGCTTCCAGTACCTGCAGCTGGGTCTGGGATGGAGGCTACTGCAGGGAGCGGGTGTGCAGGGTTTGGATCCTGGAGGCTGTTTCAGTGGCACTCAAGGCCCCTTGGTGCTATACATAGCAAGGATGGTCCCTGCCCAAGAGAGCTCACAGCCGGACTAGCCAAGCCAGACCAAGGGAGGTCCTTATCCCCATCGACTGCTGCGTTGGCCCAGAGTAACCGAGGCAGCGTGTGGCAGAGCTGGGACTTGACCCTGTGTGTCCCGCGCCCATGCACAAGCCCGTCCTGCTCACCACGTGTGCTGTGTTCATGGAGGGGAGCGTTGTGCATTGGGGCTCTCCCGGGAAAAGGCCAGACGCCAGCCCCACGAGCCAGGTCCTGCACCATGCCCATGGGCTAAGCAGCACTCGTTCCCCCAAGGTTGCAGGGTGGCTTTCCCCTTGGATGTCAGACTGCCTGCTCCACCCATGCTGCCTGGGGGGTGACACCGCTTTTTGCGCCGCCCCCTTTGGCGAGGGGCCCCCAGCAGTACCAGGTGCAGGGAGGGGGGCAGGCATGAGCGGGGGCAGGTGGAACAGTCTCCCCCACTAGGACGGGTCGAGCTGGTGAATGAGCTTGGCCCTTTGTCCCACGCTGAGACCCTGCTGGGCCTGGGGAGAGCTCCCTCGGGGCTGGCCTGCCTGGGGCTGCCTGCCTGGGGCTGCCAGCCATGGGTGTCGCCAGCCATGGGTGTCCAGGACTGTGCTGCCAGTCCCTAGCAAAGACACAGTAGGCTGCTAGAAGCCACGATTTAGCCCCCTCTGTGTCACACTGGTGCAAACAGTGGCTGGGCCCTTAAACCATGTCCTCCACTTGGGCCGGATCCCTAGTGGATGCAAATCAGCTTTGCTCCATGGAAATCAGCAGCTTCCCTGACTTACATCAGCCGCAGAGCTGGCGTCGGCGGTGTCTTGGCTTCACCCTCTTGCTGCTCTCGGGAGGGGTTGGCCCTGGCTGGCGTATCGGTGGCAGAGGGGGACGGCTGGAAGGTGGCAATCTCGTTCTCCTCGTAGACACCGGGGCTGGCAAGGCGGGGGGCTGGCCTGGAGTGGCCCTGGATCTGGAAGCAGATGGTGTACAGGAAGGCAGATAAATGCAGCAAGCACACGCAGCAGAAGATAGTCACCGCAACGATGGTGTGGGACTCCCACGGGGACGGCTCCGGGGCCAACGGAGACCATGTTGTGTTCTCGCTGAGCTGGGGACCGCTCCCCAGCCCCTCTGTGCGGTTCATGGTAACCCGGGCCTTTCCTAAGGGAACACACATTCTGGCATCTTCTCAGCACTGTCTGGTTGGTAGCATGGTCTCATGGGAAGGGATTTCCAGGTACCTGCAAAGAGAGAATGCAGCAGCTCTGGGCTCCCCGTAATTAGCCCACCCCGCCCCACCCTCCGAGTCGGAGAGAATGGGCTGGTTGCACCATGCCAGGCTGAGCTGAGAGGAGTCGGCCCAGCTGGGGATCCCGTTCTCTCAACGTATGTCCTGCGAGAGCCCTCTAGACATGCAGCCAGTGCGGGGCTGGCTGCCAGATGTCCAGAGCACACGCTGCACAGTGGGCTGGGGAGAGGACAGCTTGGCCAAGGATCCTGGGGAGCCCTGACTCGGGAAGTGACCTGCGATCCTTGGTGTCTGTGGAGCAGGCAGGACCTTGGGATTCGAGGGCTGCGCGCATGGCAAAAGGCCCTGGCTGCTTGATGTATCCACCTTGGAGGGAGACGGGGCTGGGATCCTTCCATCACCATCCCAGCCTGGGATGCGGGGATTACAGGGCTGTCAGGCCTGAGTTGCCTTCCTTCCCTGGGAAGCTCAGAGGGGTCAGGCCTGGTTCGCAGGCTCACTACAGCCCCTGCACACCGCTCTGGCAGAGAGAAGGAGTTTTAATATGGGAGCAGCTTATCTTCCCCCCTCCCCTTGCCAGGGTGAGGTGGGAATCGGGCCCATTGTTTCCAAATTCCTTCCTGCACCCTGCATTGGGGAGCCTGTTTGCAGCCCCACCTGGCTGGATTCCTCCAGCTGGGGGCTAGAATCAACCCCCTCTGCCCCTGCTGGGCCCCCCGTTCCTGGGGAAGGGTGCCCTGTATCTCCCTGAGATGGCTGCTTGCCAACTGAGCCCCAGGAGCCATACGGGTTGTGGCAGAGCTCTGCCGTGGGGTACCTTGGCTGACAGGCTCTTGTTTGGGTGCCAGACCTCTTTCCCTGCGGGCCCATTGCTGGCGGCTGAGCCGTGAGACTAGTGAGGTGAGTCACAGAAGCCCGAAGTGCAATGAGGATTGTGTGCCGTGGGTGTAGATTGCAGTGACACCGGGCTCACTTGGGAGCCGAAGTACAGAGCCCTTAAATCAGGGCTGCCCATGGGCTGCAGACCCCCATGGGCAGCTCCACAGCATGTCCTTCTTTGGGAGAAGGGCCTAATGCTTTGCTGGTGGTGTCATGTCTGGGCAGCAGGGGGTGCTGTTTATGATCTGTGTTTAGTACATGGCTGAGGCCACAGAACACACGATTTCCATCCGTTTGCCAGGAGCTTGAGGCCTGTGTCCACAAGGCAAGAGTCTAAATGCAGCTGGTTGAAAACGTTGCATCCAAACAGTTTTCGGCCAGAAAATGCAGTTTTTGCAAAACGGTATCGACGTGGATAAAATCTCCCACGAAAACAAACGTTTTGAAACGTTTCTTTTGTTTGTTTTGGACAGAAAAAGTAGGAAATTTCATTTTGAAAAATTTCCAAGGCAAAATTGTCCAAACCCAAGATTTGAAGTGTCCCGTGAAAGGCAAGTGTCCTTCCGATTGGAACAAACCCCCTAACTTCTGCATGTTGCCATTTCCACCCTGTTTGGAGCAGCCCGAACTGTGAGCGCTTCGGGGCAGGGACTGTCTTTGTTCTGTTTGAGCAGCGCTTCGCACAAGGCTCCTACGTACTGTGTACAGAGCACTCGCAAGACTTTGCCCTTTGGAGACTACAGGGCCCAGCGTGCAATGTTCCAGCTTGATCCCACTGCCCTGCCGGGGCCCTATTGTCCATCACTGTGTCGAGGACGGAGGGTGAGCTGCATTGTAAAATGCTGGGGGGGGAGGCTGCCTTTTGAAACGGCCAGGGTGCTAGTGACCAGCTCTGGGGGCCCCGGCGGGGGCCCAGAACGGGCTCCTCCAAAAGCCGCCTGTTTTTATTCCTGCGCGTGCCCCTGCTCCGGGGGTGTCTGGGAAAGGTGACATCAGCCAGGCTAACGAGAGACTTGTCAATGTCTCTCGTAGGAAATGGGCCTTTTCTCAACCCCAGCAGCCAGTTGAGCTCCCTGCTCCCAGCTGCAGGAGAGAAGGCGAGGACCCTCCGGGATGTTGCTGCTGCTGTTTTATCTCTCTATGCAGTAGCACGTAGAGGTGACCAGGCTGGGCGCCATCATGCTGGCCGGGGGCAGATATGGGGTAAAGACTGGCCTGGCCCCAAAATGCTCAGAGCCTGCAAGCAAAGTTGTGCTGAAGGCTACAGCCGGATGGGAGATGGGAAACGGTCTGTTCCAGACAGTCCTTTCTGGGCCTTTCATGCTGGGAGCCTGGGGCCCGACGAGCACATCCCACCTTCCATGCCAGCCTCCACTAGATGATCCCGGTGACGAAAATGACAGCCTCCCCTACCCTGCATAACCAGCCAGCCTGGGTGTCCGACTGCCCGTCCCCGAGCGAGTCCCGAGGAAACCGGCTGCATCCCCTAGCCGGGAGAGCGTTAGCCCTAATGCTCTAGGCATCGGCACCTACCTCTCCCTCTCTGGTGCAGCAGTTGGGCATCTGGTGCTTCCAGCCACGAGTACCTTCTGTCCAGGCAGCCCTGCCTCCCATGCCTGTCTCCCCACCGTCCGGCTGCTTGGAGGCTCCCTGCAAACGGTGAGGAGAGCAGGGGAAATCGCCTCTGTTCCTGTTGCTCTGGAAACTGAACGAGCCAAAGAGCCCTCGGCTCTGTGTGAGGGTGGGCTCGGGCTGGGCTCGCGGCATCCCCCTGCAGCGGTGAGCCGAGCATGTGAGCCCCTGCTCTGCTCCATGGGGCCGGTGCTGGATCCTCAGCACTTTGCCACTTCACACCCCAGCTCCAGGCTTTACAGTGTGTCTGCTGTCACGAGCTGATTGAAACCCCTGTTTACTTCAGTACCTTAGCGGCTCGGCTCAGTTTTAGGGGAACCTGCTCTCCCCTCTTGGCCCCAGTGGCTAATAGAAGGGGTAGGTGATTGCTGCCCCCTACAGTAACCCTGGTCTATTGGCCCTTCTCCGCCACAGGTTTCCTGTGTGACCCTGGGCGAGTCATTGAGCTCTCTGTGCCCCAGCTCCCAGCTGTACACAAGGGATCATAGCAGTGCCGTCCCCCCCAGGGGGGTGAGGAGAAAACGATGTCAGAGCCAGGCATTGTTACGACAGTGAGTGAATAACCTGTCTTGGGTCACTCCTCTTTCCCTGCCCAGGAGCGTGTAGGCCTCGAACATCAGGGCCCCCAGGCTCCCCCGATTCAGAGCCTGACGTCCTGGCTCCAGACAAACCTGGCAGCTTGACGCTCGTGCTGTGGGCAGCCTGTTCCATCCTCGCTCTGAATTGGTCTCTCGGGTGGCATTTCTCCCTGCGCCTGCCAGCTGGGCTGTGCCACTTCACCCGGGCACCTAGAGCCAATCTGCCTTTGCGTGAGGAGCCCGCCAGCACGCACAGCCCCTCCAGTTGCAACTGCCCTAGTCCCGGGAGAGTCTTGGGTGAAACAACGGACCTTGCTGAGCAGGTCATGCTGCAGCAAAGGCCACCGGGGCCCCATGGTGGGATGGTTTGCGCCGCGGCTGCTTTTTGTAAAACGGACCCTGTCGCTATGTTCTGAGCGCTGAACGCCCACCTGCTCGCTTCCCGGGACTCGACTGCTCGACTCAGAAGGTCTTGCTGGAGCTGAGGGCTCCGGGAATCCGAACCCTGCCGCTCCGAGACCCAGACTCACGCCGCTTTGGGAGGCGAGAACATTGATTTGCAATCGGTGGTTGTTCGTGCTGCGCGCAGTGAGCTGGCCTGTCCACATTCAGACAGCGCTCCTGTCTTAGCAATCCCTCTGCTGCCGGCCCCCGTGCATGGCGCTCTCCGGCATGTGTCACAGGGGGCCAGCCCACCATCCCTTCTGGTCTTACAACTGACACTAGCGTCTGGGACCAGGAACTGCAGAGGTGGCTCTGTCCTGAGCTCTTGGGGGTGGTTTTGGTTTTGGATACTTTTCAAAACAAAAAGAACAGGAGGACTTGTGGCACCTTAGAGACTAACCCATTTATTGGAGCATGAGCTTTCGTGAGCTACAGCTCACTTCATCGGATGTAGCTCACGAAAGCTTATGCTCCAATAAATGGGTTAGTCTCTAAGGTGCCACAAGTCCTCCTGTTCTTTTTGCGAATACAGACTAACACGGCTGCTCCTCTGAAACTTTTCAAAACAAAACCACGTCCTTGGACAGAGGCCTTGCCTTCGGGAGCGACTGCTTTGTGTGGATAAGTGCAGCCTGCACAACCACAGGGGCCCTGGGCTACCTCGTCTGACCAGCACCTCTGGGGAAGATGAAACCTGAGGGGTTCAGGGTACCCCTGTCTGGGATGGTTTCCTTGTTACCCACTGTCACAGCGGTCTGCTTCCTGTGCCTATGCACATGGAGACTCTCTCCCCTGCAAACACTGCTGTTCCCCAGCCATGCCTAGAATCTCTGTCCCTCTGCTGCTGTTTATCTGCAGCTCTGCGTCCTGGGGATGTGGTTCCTGTGAAAGACGCAATGCAAACAATTGCATGTAGACTCTTTAGCCACCAGCTGCAATGGGGGTGTCCAGCTGGCTGTCCCACTGAAGCAGAAGCTGCAAAACAAGCCCTGTTACCAACCAAGTAAGCCACAGACCAGCCATGCTAAGAGAGCCACAGTCTTGGGGTGAGGGGTGTGTGTTCTCTACTTGCATCTATTTCCCGGGGCAGTGGTGGGCAGCCCCATGTCTGGAGGCATGCTCTCACACACTGGCTTTCCCCAGTACAGCTGGAGCTGGGTGTTGGATGGTTTTTGCAAGAGTTAAAGTAACTGAATATGATCTGTCTGCTCTGGGAGGAGGTGAGGCAGGGTCAGTAGCAGCATTGGCCACCTGCAAGCTAACTGTGGAGAGGGGGCGCTGCTAGCCAGTGCTGGTCAGCATGCAGACCTGCACTCAGAGGTCTGGCTCAGCTTCTCTCTCAGGCTGGACTAGCCTCTGCTGTGGCCACCACCAGGGATGGGCCTTGAACTGGGATCCCCAACTGGAACGTTCTGAGCTGTGCGCCCCCGTAGGGAAAGCTGGGCTGAGCCGAGTGCCCATCTCTAGGGCAGCTTAGGGGTAGAGTGTGCCAGGGGGTGCCAGGCTGAACTCAAGGCTTTTTGGGAGGTGTCGGGCATGGTGATGGGAGCCATAAAGTCAGCCAGATAGATGCCTGGCCTGGGCCTTATAATTCTGGTTCTCTTGGAAAATCTTTCAAACTCCTGCGAATGGCAGGGTACATAAGAACGGCCACACTGCGTCAGACGAAAGGTCCATCTAGCCCAGGATCCTTTCTTCTGACAGTGGCAGGTGCCAGATGTATCAGAGGGACTGAACAGGACAGGGCAATTTATCGAGGGATCCATCCCGTCATTCCAGCTTTTGCTCCCGTGCTTGTGTTGTCAGCTGAGCTGCGAATTCCAGCAAAGAGCTGGCTGGGAACTTTTCTTCTTTTTTTATTTAAAAAAATTCTTAATTTTCACCAAAAAATGGCACTTTTCCCCCTGCATGTTTCTACCTGCTCTAAACAAAACGAAAAGAACCAGCCAAGCAATACGTCTGAGGTGAGTCTTCAATATTTGGGATAGGAGGGGAAAAAATCTTCGTGAGTGAAATGTGACCTTCTGACATACTGGTTTTTCCTTCTAGGGACTGTTGCTGACTTTATCTGGCCCCTGTACATGTAGATCTGCGTCCCTCTCAGGCCCCACATCTTCTTTCTGCTCGGTGGCTGCATCGCAAAATGGTGAGTCCTTTCTGTGCAAATACTTTGAAAGGGAAAAAGACCCTTTTCTCTGTATGCAGGGGAGGGGGAGTGGAAAACGGACCGAAATATCCCTATTGTTTGAAAAGCCGCTCTCCTCCCTCCCCCCCCCAAGACCTTTTTGCTCAGAGATGTTCGACTGGAGAGGAGCGTGGCAGGGGGCTGGAATTGACCCACCTTGTGAGGAAAGCCGGCTCCAGGCCTGCTTCAGTTGCTTGTTGTGTAATTTTCAGCCAGGACTGATAGTTTATCTGTCTGTGTTAAAACACTTTATCCGAACCCTACCAGGCAGCTCTAGCGAATTGATTTTATTACTCACTTAAATGCTAGATATCTCTTATCTAGCATGACCGAAGAGGCTGTTTGTTTGTTTCTATGCAGTGTCCTTCAGGCATACAATCACTGCATGATTTAGAGGGGGAAGCGCATGCTAGCCAGAGGGAGGATGGGGGTTGTGGTAAACTAGCTTGTTATATATCCTGTTGGGAGGGGTGGCGGGTGAATTGGTGATAGGATAGCCCCATGGTTGTGTCAGAAATTCACCTGCCTGCTTGTCCATCTTCCCTGAGCCTCTTCCACAGCCCGAGCAGCATCCCCCAGCAGCTCCTTGGTTTTTAAATTGATCTGCCAGAGAGAAACGTTTCCCTCGTGTGGAACTGGCACTGAGTTTACCCTTGCCTGAGGCCTACGCTCATGCCTGGGCCAGCTGCAGGCTTCCAAGCTGTGATGCTGCCCTGGGTGGAACCTGTTATGGCCTGGCAGCTCGAGCTGTGCAGGGCTGAGGAACTGGAGGCTGCTGGCAGGGGAGGTGCATGTTCTTGCTCTCGGTAGCAGCAGTTGTTTGTATTATGGTAGCACGTAGAGGCTGGAACCCCATGCTGGATGCTGCACAGGATCATAACTGGAGACAGTCCCTGCCTCAAAGAGCTCGCAAGACAAAGGGTCGGAGGGAAAATGGGGGAAGTCACTTGGCTGGGGTTGCCCAGTAGGTCTGGGGAACAAAGCCCAGCATTCCTGAGTCCCAGCCTGGTGCCCTGGCCATGGGCCCCCCCAGCCCCATATGCTGGCTTTGAGACCGGACTGTGGGGTTAATGGCGCAGAGGGGGCTGGCCTCATCCATTCTTGCAACATCAAGTGCGAAGGTCAGGCTCCCCGCACAAGGGTACGAACGCTGACGTCAAAGGAAGCAGCTGGTGATTCACTAGCTCTTCTGGTCCTTTGTCTCTCTGGCTGTAACTCATCTGGGAAATGTCATACCATCCTTGAGTGTTATCGTTCCACTGTCAGTTTGCCCACCCTGCTGGGAGATAATCCAGCCTCTGAAGGAGATATTGGCCCTGCCAATACAGGCTTTTTGAAAACCTCAGTGTAGGGGGACTTCCCCTTCCCTTGGATGACTGCATCTGTACTGCACTGCAGAGCAGTGCCTATGGGGAGACCTGGGCTTTGTCCCCTGCTATATTCAGAGATTCCCAGGCCAGAAGAGAATCTGGGGGGGGAGGGATAGCTCAGTGGTTTGAGCATTGGCCTGCTAAACCCAGGGCTGTGAGTTCAATCCTTGAGGGGGGGGCCAGTTAGGGATCTGGGGCAAAAACTGGGGATTGGCCCTGCTTTGAGCAGGGGGTTGGACTAGATGACCTCCTGAGGTCCCTTCCAACCCTGATATTCTAGGATTCTATGACTGCTGTGATCAGCTAGTCAGGCCTCCAGTGTAACAGAGGCTGGAAACCCTCCCGAAAATCATCCTTAGAGCAGATCTCTGTGGCCAGTGATGGAGAATCCACCACGCCCCTCGGCAAATTGTTCCTGTGGTTAATCACCCTCAGTGATTCATCTCCCAGCCATTGGATTGTTGAGCACGTCCCCCTGTATGCCTCAGTTTCCCCCACTGTAAAATGGGATGATGGTACTGACCTCTTCGAGCTCTATGGATGGAGGGGCATATAAAAGCCAAGTGCTACTGCTGTTCATTAAGGTTGCTTCGGTTAGTACATGCGGTCCTGCTTTGAGCAGGAGGTTGGATTAGATGACCTCCTGAGGTCCCTTCCACCCCTGATATTCTATGATTCTATGTCCTGCAGGGTTCGAATCCTGCACCGTGCCCTGGGGAGAGGATGAGCCAGTCAGCCTTCTCCGTCTCGAGGGGCAGATGTGCTGGGAGAACGCCCAAAGCCAATGGTTCTGTTCATTCCCAGGAGACTCTGGGGGCAGCTGAGTTCAGAAGCCCACTCAAGGCACTGGGGGGTGTGGGGCTTCTGAGGGTGCAGGTATATACATAATGGGTCGGCCCCGTGCTCAGAGATGCCAGTGTAGCACCACGCCATGATTCCAGCCTACTTTCCCCCATCCTCGCTCAAACAGGGTGGGACTGCTGCCACCCCCTCCCCCCGCAGCGGCATCTTTCCTCAGCCAGGTCTGCTCCCGTCGCTGGGAGGCTCTGCTAACTCTCCAGGGGCTGGATCCTCTCACGCCCAGCGTCCAAACTGAATCCGCAGGGAGCTGCACTGACAGACCAGCCCTCATCATGGGATATGCCCCTTGTGCACACGGCTGGCTCGGGTACGAGCAGCACACAGGGTCTCTGTTTTGCTAATGCTCTGCCCAAGGCTAGTGACTCCACTGGCTTTCTAAGGCTGCTTCTCCCCCCCAGCACCTTCTTTAAAAATCATGTTTTCAAAGTTAAAGGACACTTCCACCAGCCCTGCCTGTTACAACTAGATCTGTGTTTCCAAATCCATGCAACTCGTTCCTTAGGGCACCGGTGCTCCATTCAGTTACCCTGGCCTGGCACTCCCGAGCCCCTCTACAATAGCCAGACAGTGCCTGTGAGCTACTCGCCAAACGGTGAGCTACTCTTCACCTGTGCTAGGTGAAGGCAGGTTCCGTTGCCAACCCCCTGAGCCATCCAGTGCCCTTCCCTGTGACCCCCCCACACCCACTGATCCAGGGTTACGGAGCAGCTCACGCCATGTATGACAGTCTCTGGGTCCTAGCTGGCCAATCATGGGGGAGAAAAACAACCCTGCTTGGGGCGAACTGCAGTGTCTAAGTCGTGGTGACCATGTCTAACTATCACTGCACTGTTTGGTCCCTCCCTGGGAGACGGCCGCTCTCACGGTGTGCTGGACACCTGCATTCGGGTGGCGCCAGGCTATCGGTACTCATAGTTCAGCAGGAACTCCAAGCACTGGCCTGCTGGCGGCCTTTGCTTTGGGACTAGGTCCAGCTAACTGTGCTCAGCCGTCGCTCTGGAGAGAGAACGTCTGGTTGGCTGCAGAGAGTTAACGTAGCCAAGGGAGGATATGTCTGTTCCCTTAATCAGCTTTGCCTCTTGTAACGCTGCCCACATGACAGATGCATGAGAAGGGTTTGGCCTTGGCCCCCCGCAGGCCTGGGTAAGTGATGTCTTTTCTTATCTCTCTGCTGACTAACCAGCATCCTTCAGCGGGAGTATTTAAGGCTGCGAGTGAGGAGAGCTGCAGCAGAGAAGCGCTAGTCCAGCAGAGGCAGCCCTGGAGACACTGACGCTGGACGCCTGAGCTGCAACCAGAAAAGAAAAATGCTGCCAGCAACTTTCAAACTGTGTGCCGGGATCTCCTATAGGCATCTGCGCAACATGACCGGTGAGGGGGGTGTGCAGCTGTCACTGGGGCAGCAGCTGCCTTAGGAGCTGGGCTGGGGGCGGCTGGCTTGAAGGCCCCATTGCTGTGGATTCAAAGTGCCTCGTTTCTTGCTCCTTAGTAGTGATGTTTATTTCTATTACGGTTACTCTGTCTGCGACACCTGATTGCCCCAAGCACTGGGCAGCAAGAGGCACCCCTGCTCTGTGCCCTGCTCACCACCCAGGAAGCCAGCAGGGATCACTGGGGGAATTCTCTGCTGTGTGTTACGCAGCTCAGACCCTCAGCTGGTGTGAATTGTCGTAGTTCCCTTGGAGTTAAAGGTCTGTCCCATGTCCCCAGTGGTTCCAGCTGGCCTTAAAATCTATTCACCTCTCCCATTTTTGCTGCCAGGAGACTCTTTCCAGCTCAACAGGGGAAGGGTATGCCTGTTTCTGAATGCAGAACAGTCCTCTGTTTCCATGGAGGCTGTTATTTATAGTGCCATAAATGTACCTATGTATAGATAAAACATTCTCCCTGCCTTGAAGAGCTCACATGGAAAGGACTTAAGATTATCCACTCCAATGGCTAACCATTGGCTCTCTTTTCCAAACTGCTGGAGAGAGAGAGAAAAACTTCCAACAGACTCTTCTTGGCTTCTGGATGTCTCGGTTTCTGCTGGACCTAGGGATCAGTTTGAGGTCTAGATTACACGTTTCTTTGGCAAAAGTCATTCTGCAGGCTTGGCAGAAGTCTGCCTCCCTTCTGCTTGGTGTGGTGTTGCACACACTGCTCTCCAATGCTGTATAGGCAGAGTTTCTAAAACAGCTTCTAGTCTCAGTGTAAAGTGAATTTTCCGCTATGGTGAACTGCTGGATTCTAGAGCGTCCCCCCCCTCCCCCAAGGATGTGATTAGTCCCCATTCTCCATGTTTTGCATGTCCTAGGCTCCACATATGGTCCCCAAATACAATTGTGACTCTGTTGGGAAAGGGCCTACATTCTTTTTCTTTTAAAAGACCACCACGCTTGCAGAAATCCAAAGCAAACCAAATGTAGCTGCTGTATACACATGCTGCTGCTTCAACTGTGTGTGGATGATGATAAACCCTCTTTCTGTAGATATACTGACCCAGCCGGTGATGATGGAAAGTAAATAAAACTAAAAGAAGGATCAGCATGGGCCTGATGGGAGGAAATTGGCCAGGAACAGCTTTATCTTCAGGCAGGGTCACAAACAGTGAAGCATGAAAAGTAAACTGTGAAGTTCGTAGCTCTTTTCACTTCTATCTTACCCTCTCATTTCAAGGCTTGAGGAGGCAGGCTGCTGTTGCCATCAGCCAGGAACTGAATAAACTCGCCTTTGCTGGCCCTGGTCCCAGTAAATGGATCAACCAAGTTCGCAGGAGGAGCTCCTTACTTAGTAAGTACCATAGTCTTACCATAGTCAAATGTACAGTGACAAGCAAAGGGGGTGATCCAAGCCTGATAGACTTGCACCTGGCTCCAGTGGGAGCAGGATTGAGGCCCAAGTCCTTTAAGAGGCTGCAGCTGTGGTATAGACTCAGACCTGCTGATGCATATAGAAATGCACAGCCTATGCTGCAAAATCTAAATACAGAAAGATAGCAGGAAACTAGCATCACTCCTAAGCCCCCCAGCACCGGTGCTGAACTGGAAAGGTTACTTAGTTCAGCTAAGTTATTCGGTCCTGTGTACTGCAGTGGTGATTTGGTGAGAGGACAGAGCTGCAACCAGCACTGTATAAATGCCCAAGTAAAACCCTCTACTCCAACCCCTTTCAGGCTCCAGGTTGGAGGAGAAGCCGTTCAGTGAAGTGGAGATGTCCTACATTAAACAGGGAGAGGAAGCCCTTCAGAAATCGCTCAGCATCCTCGGGGAACAGGATGGCTGGAAAACTGAGACCATAGCGGTACAATTTCTGACTTGTGGTGATTTCTGACTTGTCCTTTTTCAACTGCACCTACTGGGAATACTAACTCTTTGGGGCTTTGACTTCCTGTAGGGGAATGGGGACAAAGTGCTGAGCAAGATGCTCCCAGACGTTGGGAAGGTATTTCGGCTAGAGGTGGTTGTGGACCAGCCCTTGAACTCTGTGTATGATGAGTTGGTGGAAAGAATGGAGCAGATGGGAGACTGGAATCCAAGCATCAAGGAAATCAAGGTGAGAGACTCAACTGCATGCGTTCTCCGAAGAGGGAGGAATGCTTGCTTTGGCCCCGATGCAGCCAAGGACTTAAGCACATGCTTTGCTGAAGAGGGGCCTTTATGATTAAGCAGTAAAATAAAGGGGTTTTCTACTATATATTTTAAAGAGAGAAACATCTAATGTGCCCAAAGGGGTAAATACAGCTGGCCCGAAGGGTGTTCCAGCCTTTGAATGCCAGCTCCAAGCTTAAGCTGTTATCTTGGCTCCGCTGTGCAGCTGATATGGAGGGTGTTTGGCAATAGCCACAAGGTGTCAGCAAAGGGGAGAAGTCCAGTTCTTTATCTCAGCAACATGTTTCCAGGTGGAGGTTATGGAATCTTATTGCAAGGGGGTGGGTGTCCTTTATCTACTGAAGTGGTAACAGTGGTGGCCTGCTGCCTGACTGACTGCCACATCTCACACAGCACAGCTTGCTCCTAGAGCGCTGAATACCGAAATCCATTTTCCCCCCTCAGTGTTGCAGGACTGCAGAGCCTATGAGGTAGACCTAGCAGGCTGTGGTTGGGGGAGGGGGGAGGCAAAGAACTTTATTAAATGCATTGCACGATTCCTAGTACAGGGAGCCCGAGAGAGAAGTGTGGCACAGACACAGTAACAGAGACATACACCACGACCCACGGGCTATTGAATGTGTAAACAGCCCCGTTACGCTGGCTCTGCCTAACGTTGTGTAACTGTCACCCTCCAGATTCTCCAGAAGATTGGGAAAGATACTGTGATAACCCATGAGACTGCTGCGGCCACGCCTGGCAATGTGGTGGGACCACGGGACTTCGTCAGCGTGCGGTGTTCTAGAAGACGTGGCTCAACGTGTGTCCTGGCAGGGATGGCCACAAACTATGGAGCGATGCCAGAACAGAAGGGATTTATAAGGTAGGGAAGCCTCCAGCTGTTGTCTTGCTTTACAAACCTGGAGCCAAAGCTACAGTAGTTGGACAGCCAGGAAAGGGCACATGTGCACAGCGTGGGGGAGGCGCCATTCCCAGCTCGGGTGCACATAGCAGTGTGGCCGCAGCTGCCCGAGTACGGTGCCGGGGGGTGGCTAACCCAAGAGGCCATGGCCTGGTTGCTGTTTGGAAGTAACAGCTTGAGCAGAGCTAGCCCATGGACGTCTGCCAGTCTGGGAGCTGCTGATGTACCAAAGTACAGAGGCTCCTGCTACCAGCCTGGGGTGGGAGGAGGGCTGTAAAAGAGGCGAGTATGTTAGTTTGGAGTCCTGCCTATTTTATACATTTCAAGCTTGCTTGAGCTGTTATCTTGTCCCATTAGCAAGTCCCTGCTATCACTGGGGCCTCAGGCAGTGGTCAAACCTCATGTTCTCCCCAAGGACTGAAATCCTGTAGTCTGTAGCATGCCGTTTCCCCAGTCCTCCCTTAACTAGCTCTTGGCATTCACCAAACAACCAGGACTAAAGGGCTAGAAGCTGGCAATCTCTCCTGTGGCTACTAGGCCACACTGCTTTTCCCATTCTCTGGTTTATCCCACTTAGGCCAGCTAACCCGGGTTCTACTGTACAGGTATCTAGGTGATGCTCTAGCCTGCCCTCCTATGTACCTCAACCCACCTCCTGGGGCCTCCTGGCCTTACGTGCCACGAAACAGGAGGCTCTTCACAGCCAGAAGAGACTATTAAATCATCTAGTCTGACCTCCTGCATAGTACACGCTATTAAATTTCACCTAATGTCCCTTTACTAAGCTCAAAGCCCCTACAGCATTTCACTCTTCAGTGGCAGAGAACTGATCTGATATCTCATCCCCATTACCAACAAAGATTCAAATGTGTAAAATAGGCAGGACTCTAAGGTCCCCCAGCCCCTGCCCCTTTTTGACTGGTACTGTCTCTCTCTCCTCTAGTAAATGCACCCTTCTTTCTCAACACTCATTCTAGGCTGTAGGAAACTATAGCTAGGCAACTTTTAAATTTAACTCCAGGAAGGAGCATGGGGGTAGCAGCCAGGCTTGGCACAGGTACTCATTACACACCTCCATTAAGCAGATATAGTCTTCAAAGTTCTTTATTTAACCTGAATTTTAAAAAAAATTGGCAGTCAAGGGCTAGAGAGACTTAAATCAGCAGAAAGACTCGTGGCCAAGTCCTGCTACCTGGACAGCAGTGACTTGTGCCATGGGAAATTTCTGGCTGCTGGGAGCACGCTGAAGCATCTTCTAGGGCTCTGTAGCAAACTCCAGCCTCAGAGGTGAGGTATTGCCACCCTCCTGCCTTTAAAACTGACTCTAGAGAAGACACACACATTTGGATGGTAAATCATTTGTCCCTAGTTTCCTAATGCAATGTTTTCCTGCCCTTCTCCAGAGCTGAGAACGGTCCCACCTGTATGGTTCTCCATCCACTGCCTGAAAATCCTTCACAGACCAAGTTAACCTGGCTACTCAGCATTGACCTAAAGGTAAGTGCTCATATGGAACCTCATTCAAACAGTATAAATGAGTCCTCTCAAGAAGGAGTCTGCCTCGGAAGGGGGTGGTTGTCTAAGGTTAGGAAATTAGGAGCAGCTGCTTAATTTCTTGAAATGAAATTCTCCTGATTGAAGTCATTCCCTGTGTGGGTCAGGTGAAAACTATTTCATAGTTCCAGCTCTTTCCAACCAGAAAGAAGTGGTTCATGTTTCATCCCAATCCACTTGTCAATCTCATTGCAACTTAAGATGCAAGGTTGGCTCCCTCCAACCCCCTACTCCTTAGGCTCAGTAAATACCTCTGCTTTAACACATGCCTGCTCTCTTCTTTTTCAGGGCTGGCTGCCTAAGACAATAATCAACCAAGTCCTTTCCCAGACCCAGGTGGACTTTGCCAACCACCTGCGCAAGCGCTTGGCTACTCCAACTGCTGTCAGCTGCTGAACCCTCAAGAACTATTAACCTTCAGCAACAGCCAGAAGCCTACCTGATGCTTAGATTTCGCCTCAGAGGTGATTATCCTGTGTAGTGTTACCTGAGACATGCTTTGGGGCTTTTCTGGGGTAAATGAATGGGTTCAGGTTTCTAATGCTGCATTGAGTTTGCTGGGCTCCCTTCTTAGCTGAACATATCAGACTTGGTGGTGTAGGCAGCCACTTCAAAATCCCCCAGAAGGTGTGTTTGACTGAAAAGGCTACTGCTCCGTGCTCTGCAACAGCTTGTGATAGTTTCACAGCGAAACTACTTCTGATCAAACAGGGGCTGGATGTCAAGGCACCCAGTAGAACACTCAGCGAGAGCTCCAGGTTAACCCTTGCTGTACAGGAACACACTCTTTAGCTTTAAGATCAGAAGTGAGTTATAGGGTTAATACATAACTCAAGGCATCTTGCAATATCCAAAAAATCAATCCCTGTGCAGATCCTATTACTGAATTGTTAGTGCAATTTGCCAATTTATACCAAGCTAGCTTTGTTTAATTTAAATGTGCCAATGTAAGTTACTTTGCTGCTCTTTTCTGTCAGCGAACTCTAAGCAGCCCTGGTCTGTTGGGTACAAATTTAGCATGTACTTACACAGCCCCCTCTGAAAGTGGGCAGGAATAACTTGTCTTAGTTTTGAATAGGCTGGATAGTGTCTGATTTCTCATAAGACATTTTATACAGTTAACATCGTAGGACAGTGCATCTTTGTAAGCTTACACTTTTACCTAAGAACCCAATACACCAGCATTCGTTTTGCACTCAGTGGAATTCAGCTGTAGGAAGTTAATTTATAAAGCCAGTTTGCAGGTATTTATTTTTCATGCATAATGGACTATTTAATATTTATTCTCAGTGACCATGGAGCTCTAAGCAAGTTTATTTTAGGGGGTGGGGGTTCCTTATCCAGTAGGGAAATCTTAAGCAATGCTTGACTTCCCTAGAACCAACCAGTTCCTGTACCCTGCTGAGATAAGACTGTTGCTATGCAGAACTCTGCAAATATTTCAGTGTAATTCTGTAGTAGCCTAATGTACTGACTCAGTTTGATGTAAGATGTATAGATGCTGAAAAAGATTAAAATTCTTGCCTGGCTCTCTTTAATCCAGACCACAGAGTGCCAATGTAACAACTTCATTCAAAGCCTTACTCTCCATTATTAGTAGTGTTAGCTGTGAGTGGGAAGAAGAGACTTGTCTTATAATATATGTGCTGCTAGGCACCAAGACAAACCACTGTGATTAGAGACACACTCCTCCAGGACAAGGTAGTGTTTTACAGGCACTGGATAACTAACTTATCTAAATATGCTTGAAAGCCTGGGCCCTGGAATTTCATCTTAACTTAGCTTGCTCTCTCTACCCACAACAAAATAAACCTTTAGATGGTTTGTTAGTGCCATAAGGCCTGAAAAGTAGCTTACAGCTGCTGTTGGTCTCTGCAAGTCAAACCTTAACTTACATCAGGTAAGCACAGTTCTAGTGAATAGCCCCTGCAGTATACATTTAAACTCAGCTGCCCAGTTCTTGGGACTAAGTGAAAGTGCACTCTGACTCACTCCTACACAGGATAAGGCTGGTGCACTGTTTCCTACAATGCCTGGAGAAAGGGGGGTCAAGCTAAGAGCACATCACATCCTTGGTCCGGCACACCACCTATGCTACTCTGGCTAAGGAGGTTTGTTAAGTCTTTAGCCATAAAACAGACAAAAGATGTAACAAGCTTGGGGAAAGTTTATTTTAAACTGGTTGCCAGTTAATATAAAAATCACAATCTCTCCCCCATAACTTTAGTTTTGGTACAACAAGATCCCTTTGTATGGAAGCTGTTTACAGTTTTAAAAATCCTTAACACAGTTTAGTATAAGCATCTGTGTTGAAGGTATTTGGCTACAACTGCTCAATTGAAATGTATGATGAAGCAGGGCTGTATGGCTATTGCCCACTCCTGGTGCAGTGACTAATCTGGATATTAAATGCAGTTGTGATACAATCAAATACTCACTCCAGTAACTTGTTAAAAATACAGTTAGCTGAAAACTCCAGAAGACACCACTGAGTAGCACAATACATGTAACGTGGCGGAGGTTGGGTTTTCAAAATATAGCGTACACCTACCACCACCAATAACCCAAGCCCTCTATAAATACCTGCCAGTTAGGTAGCAGCTGAGCCTGGTTCATCCTTTACAAAGTAGTGATGTTGCAATTCTCTAGAAATAAACCATGTCTGTCCAGTGTTTAAGAAATCTGTATATACAGCATCTCCTCTAGGGCTCCCACGGTGGGCTTCGTCTTCCATCAACTTCGGTCTCCACATGATACAGGACATCTGCCAATGTGTGCTCTACAACAGCACCCCAGCCCATGTCGCTTAGCTGTCGGGAAGGGGAAGAGAAGAGATTACAGCAGCCCTGCTTTAATTACTTGGGGTGCAGGGCACAGCTTAGCACTGTGCTGTTTTCTATCACTTCTCTGATGGGAAATGGGTTAACTTCAGTATAAAGACTCCTTACTTCTGTCACACAACTCTTTGTGTATATAGCAATGGGCATAACTGCCTTCAAGGAACATTTTCTGCTAAATATACCCTATGGAAAAGGCAATAATCCTTAAACTACCAGTGTCTTACACTAAGCAATGAAATCCACATCCAGGGCTTTCACCCACTCTAATCTAGCTCATCCCTCTATTTTAATACCTGTTAAGAGTTCTTTAGACCAATTCCTTAAGATTTATTGGAAAAAGCACTTAAATCCCCCACCACACAATGAGGTTGGCAAGCGTACGCTCTTTTCAAAGTAGAGAGCTGGTGGACAAAGGAAAGTTCAAGGAATACCTGATGCAATACCTTCCATTTGTGACCGGGGTCATACTTTCACCGATGGAACACTGGAGTTGACATGCTCTCTGAAGCATCGCCTTAGAGGCAAAATGCCGCTTTCTACCTTCCCCAATATTTTTAGATGCAACCTTAACATCTGAAGACATTTGAAGGTCTGATCCAGTCTGGCAATTCCTAGGGCAGTTTAGTCTAGATGCTTCAATATAAGGGACTGGAGGCAGATGTGGGATAATGTGACCATGTTTTTTGAAAGATATACTCCAGTTCAAAAAGGAAGTAATTCATGTTAACCAAGTAAATGTCCAATCCCTGTTTGGATTTTTCTAACTTGCTCTCAATAGAGTCAGAAGTAGGAGTCTGCAATACAGGGTAATGGGAAAAATTTTAGATTTTTTTCCCCTAATTTTTACTTCCAGTAAATATTTGAGGTGAAGAGTGCCTTGTTTTAGGAACTGCACTTCGAGCACATAGTCTAAGGTTGCACATGTAAACTACAGGGAAATAATTAGCAGGATCCATCAAGTACCTCAAACTAAGATGAGGCTTTTGGACTTTTAAAACCCAGTGTATATTTCCCCTCAACAAAATGTTGCTCAAATACACACCTTGGTAATGTAGCTGTCCTAATGAAGTTAGCAGAAAGTTACTATTAACGCCTCCTTGCCACCCTCCAAAAGAGAGCCAGGTGACAACTGAGTGGTCCACTCATAATCTTGAGCTCTCTTGCTGACAGAATGGAGGTACAAAAGTTGAATTTAAATCCTATACCATGTTAACAGCACAAGAAAAAGCAGATGTAGTTATGAATTAGTACTTACGGGTCGGTAAGTGATATCTCTTGGAGGGTATTTGAAGTATGGTCCAAAGTTTACTGAAACCTGTGACAGGGAGATAGATCTATTTAGCATCAGATGGATGTGCACAACAGGAAGCAAAGTAATACTAAAAAACAGAAAGAAAAGGAGTACTTGTGGCACCTTAGAGACTAACCAATTTATTTGAGCATAAGCTTTCGTGAGCTACAGCTCACTTCATCGGATGCTCATGAAAGCTTATGCTCAAATAAATTGGTCTCTAAGGTGCCACAAGTACTCCTTTTCTTTTTGCGAATACAGACTAACACGGCTGTTACTCTGAAACTAAAAAACAGATAGCAAGGGAAATTGCTCACTCAGCATTTAACAGGCTGGGCGGTTTTAGGTGACATGGAAAGCTAGGATCTCACTCACCACAGGTAAATGCTTTGCTTCAGCTTTATGGAGAGTGGAGTCTCTTTATAAATCTACTTGCAGCCCACAGTAGGCAGATGAGCTATTGCAAGAGTGCTCTGAAAACACTAGGCCCACATCACTGGAATAATCTTAGTTCTGTTTGACTCCTCCCCGAATGCACGTTCAGATGGTACACTGGTATAGGTGGGGACCCTTTTTGTTGTGTTTGCACATTGCCTAGTTCAATGCGGTTCTGCTCCATGACTGGACTTCCTACACACTACTGCAACACAAATAATTCACTTTCTGCCCCCCGAGCACCACAAGCTGTACCTACCGTGCAGCCCTTATACAAAGAAATGGCCGGGAAATAAACACCTTCAAAAATCTCTTTAAAGGCAACTCCTTGGCTGACACCATTTTTATAGAAGATTATCTGCAAAACGGAAACAGTAACGGAATCAAGAGGTGTTCATGCTTTACTGACTAGCCCTACATTATTTGTAGCCGCCCTCCCCCAATTTGTTGTCTTATGCATTTAGGCTTTATGCTCTGTTAGCAACTCTCTCTTTGCTTCATTTTGCAAGATGCCTTGTCCATTTGTGACTGAAAAATAAGTTAGTCTAAAGTCTTGCATTCCACAAAACATAACTAGCTGCAGTGTTATTACAGGTCAAAGAAGGTGTAACCCAAGCTGCATTGCTTGCTTATTCAAGTCTATGTAAGCCTAACAGAGACCATCCAACTTGACATCTTTGTAAAACTGTGTGATAAGATTCAAATAAATGAACACCAAGAATCTTAAGTGAAAATCTGCCAAGGACTGTACAGTGAACCTGTTCAAGAGATTGGTGGTGCTCTATGGATTTCTAAAGTGTCTGGGCTCAAGTTTCCACCCCACTCCAGACATCCAACTTACTTGGCTTCCAGGAGTTTGCTTTAGGCTTTTCTCTGCTTTATCCACAAAGTCCTTCTCTTCAAAATACAAGTAACTTTTGAACTTGATCAAAGCCTAAAAAAGGTAAGCAACAGATCCAGGTCTGCAAAACATTCACACCATTACTTTTAGTAATATTCTAATTAATGGTAGACAGATGCAATAGGACTGGTTAGTACACAAGCCCCTGGCAACTGGAGACCCAGATATAACAAACGTCAGGTCACCAATGACAAATGAGGCTCCATTAAGTATGGAATAAGAATTCTGAACTAGTCCCCTTGGCAGCATTTCTGTAGATTGGCACATTCATGGAACCAAGACATTGATGTGCCTTACTGAATAACTGGGAGGTAGTCAAGCTCATCTGACCCTTGCTTGTAGCATCTGGAATTGAGGTAAGGACTGTTGTAAGGCATTTGGGGCTTTTAAAACTAGTCCTCTAGACCTTCACACCATGCTACTTCCTTAGTCAGTGGTAAGAGTTAACACATCATTATTTGCCTCCCATTCAGTTAGAGGGATGCTGGTTCATCATAGAGCCTGGGCAACTGCAAGACTGAGGTTTGGACAAGCCCATTTTCCACTGTGGGTTACTGCATATTCAAGTGTCGGGCCCCGTTTAGCATAGCCAAGGTCTGGTATAGTTAAACAAACTGAGACCAGCTAGGCACAGCCTAGAGGAATCCAGCTTACCTTATCTTTATAGGTATCAGGCAGTGACTTTGCAGTCTCTGTGTCTTCAGGAAGACTGATATAAAAACCCAGTACATCTCCTTGCCCATAGCCAGCTGAATAGTGTTTGCCTATGGACTGATGAAACTTTGTTCCCTTCTTGCTGCGCCAGGAGTAACTGAACTTGTCATAGCCTAGGGGAGCCTGAAGGTTCCCTGTAGAAAACCAGAGGTCAGCCCTGGAAGCACCAGACCCTTTTCTTCAGGACCTTGCATGAAAGTAACTGTTTCTACAAGCAGCTCGGGTTACCAGGCACTAACATCTAATCGTACGAGACATTTTTTCCATCCAGGCTACATATTTCTATGGGTTTCAGTGCAAAGTTTTCCACTTAATACTGAAAATATTTACTTCATAAATATTCATGACACACCTGCTGTTGGCTCTTAAAACTATGGCACGGACTGTTGA